TCTCTCTATTTGGCCAATTTCTACTCTTTCCATGCTCTCTGAAGCCTAGTAGAGGCTAAGCTGAAGCTATCCTTCCTATAATTCATCCTTCTTATCTTTCCAGGAGGAGGGGAGAATAAGAGACAGTAAAGTTCCGGAGCCCCCTCGGAGTAAACCCCCCCAGCCGCCCGTCCGCCCCAGCCCCCCGGCCAGACTACCCCCTATGCTCATGCCCCCCAAGAAGGCACTACCGACACCCCCTGATGAGGATTCGGCTTTCCTACCCCCCTCTGCACCTCCCAACAGGGCACCCCCACCACTGGTGAGGGGGGTATGTTATATCTTATTTTACTAACTACATGTACTTTATCCTGGTTGATATCAAAATATGAAATTGTACATTCAAAAGACTAATTGTGAATGCTGTGGATTTTTCTGGGAAAATTTTCAATCTGTATAAGTATCTATTATGAACAGTAACTTTTATAGGAGTTAAGATGGGATGTAATGGCATTTGTGACTACATGTACTACCTACTACTACATTTTTTATTTATTAGTAACTAACGTGACCTAAAGCTAAGCTTACAGAATAAATGGTCACATGTATCAATGCTGGCCAAGATAGCTATCATTCCTCTAGCAAATTCCCTAATTCTCAATTTTAATTTTCTAAATGTCTCAGAGCCTTGCTCAGGGTGACAACGGTTTCTATGACAATGAGGAAGCCCCCATATCTCCGCCTGCTCGACCTCCGCCCCCAAGGCCCCCTAGCCTGTCTGCGGACATGCCTGTTGTAGTGAAGGTTCACCACACGGACAGTTACACCGTCGCCATACGCTCCAAGTCTGGCGCGACCTTACGTGACCTCACCGTCATGGTTGCTAACAAGTTCGAGATGGCGGAAGATGTGGTCACACTGTGGTGAGAGTCTTTTCCTTACTTGGTGTTTTTGTTTTTGCTTTTCTTGAAATCTTTGTTGTATTTTTGTTATGTGTGCTTCACAGCAGAATTTTAAAAGATTTTTTTGGTTTTATTAATCTATTGGTTATGATTAATACTAGAGATTATGCTGAAAGTTAATTTCTCAAAGAAAAGTCACTAACTTTGGTGTACACAATCTACCGGGTCACAGTTCCTTTCTACACTTTTCAAAATCTATCGAGTTGCTTGAGGAACAGTTACAGTTTCTTGTCTATGCTATTACATGTACCTGGATGTCTAACTTTCTTCAATGTAAGAAATACAGACTATTTCTCAATATTACGCTGTTCTCCCCAGGTATAAGAAGGAAGGAGAGGAGGAGATGACAGAGATAGTGAAGGATGAGGACATGAGAGAGGTGTGGGCCACGGTGAGGGAGGGGCAGCTCACTTTGTGGCTCAAGGACAGGAAGGTGGGTTTGAAAACATCAGTAGTGTTGTTGTCTTTGTTGACGCGGTACAAGTACACCAGGTCAATATGGTTGATGCAGTAAATACTCCTGTCTAGAACTGTACTGTCACAAAAGTGTACAGGAACATGTATCAGGTACAAAGCCCTATTTGAGGCAGTTTAGGGCCTTTTATGCTTGTCTTTGATGGCATCTAGTGGCAAGCAGACACAGATTCAATTCCTGGCATTCCTGGCCAGACATTGCATGTGTACTTGGGAAAGGCTCTTTACAGGACTTTCCTCACTCGACCAAGGTGTCATGATCAGTGGAATGAAAGGGATGGGCTCTTCCAGTACCTTCCATTACTGTGCCCTAACAACCATGGATTAACATTATTCCCACTGCCCTGATGGCCTCAAAAATTATGGGAGTACCTTTAGCTTTACCTTTCTGCTTGTGTGTTCCCAGGATGACCAGGAGAGTGTGAGCGCGATGTCGATGCAGTTCAGTAAGGTGGTCGCCCTGCATGACTACGAGGCAAGCGAACCCGGAGATCTGGGCTTCATGGAGGGAGACGTCATCACTATCATGTCACAAGGTGGGCAAAACATGCAGTAGCTAGCCATGCATGTACTCTAGCTCCACTAGACCTAAAGAAGATTTCTTTTACTTGGGAAGGAGAGAGAAGCCAAGTGCTGCAGTGTTGGCCGCATTGTCAATAGATGGGAGTGGCAACGACAATGATGATGAAAGAGTAGAGCTATGTAGGACTAAGAGGTCTTTCTTGACACTACCAAAGTACAGAAAATTTCCTTAAGTCTTCTACAACTATACCAAGGTCCTACAAGTGGATAAAACAAATTAATTTGAAGCAAACAAGTGGATGCATTGTCATACATGACACTGTGGATCTGTGTATTTTTTTCTTAACAAGTGAATGAGTTAAAGTCATTGCTGTTTATTTTCTCTCCCCCAGTAAATGAAGACTGGTTGGAAGGCCGCTCCAGGGGCAACGTGGGAATTTTCCCAGCAGGCTATGTGAAGCCCTGGGACAAGTGAGTGTACTATCCCATCATGCAACAGCAAAGAGACAGCCCATGCAGGTTTCACCAACTTCACTTTCCTGATGATGCAACACGGAAGTAGAATATATCTGATTTATTATCATCATAATCATATTCAAGATGCATCTAATAGCTAGAATTACAAGACCTGTATACAGAACTGGTGTTACAACAGAATCATACAACTAACATAATCATTGCTAGTTACATGGAATGTTAAGCATGGTCGTTTAAGCTGTGCATCGATTTTAAATGGTTCTCGGACATTTTAAGAATTCAACAAGAGATCATCAGTTGGCTTGGAGCAAATTTTAGAGACTCTTCCTTCAGCCATTTTTCCAGCATTAGTATGGTCCCAGGATAAACCTGTTAGCAGCGATACATTGACTTGAAGACTATTCCTCAGTGCTTGGAGCTGAATTTATTGTACATGTACTATATGGATCATCTTCTCCAAAAATTCTTCTGAATATTGACCGGATATGATCATGGACATTATGACATTGTAGAATTATTATAGTGTCTGACGGTGCCATAATCTATGGGTTTGGAAAGTAGAGGAAAGAAAATGTTGAGCTTCTCATTTTTGTTCCTGTTCACTTCTCAGGAGGCTACCCAAGGAGGGAATTTCCTGTGCTTGATGTTGCACCTGGCCCTTTCCTTTTTAACCTTTACACCACTAAGGTGGCCATTTGTCAATTCACTCTTGTATTGATTACAGAATTAGGCAGCATGGAGGAAGTTTCATGTTTTCTTAACCCCAGAAGACTTGCATTATTGTGTAGAAGACATTTGAGTCTGAATCAGGCTTCTCAAAACAGTGCCCCAAAAGTTGAATATCAAAGTTGTCATGTATATTTATATAGCTGGAACAAATTTTTAGAAAAAAAGGAATACTGTAAAGCTGAAAGCAGTATTGTATATTTTATATAACTAATGGTGGTGGATAAATATACATTTGTACAAATGTATGTTATCAGGGCTGTGGAAGATGTTCATATATGGCAAGTCTAGAGATTATATTTTAAGCACTACTTTGTACATTGTAAGGTAGTAAAGCTTTCTATGTCTTTGACATTGTATAGAAATGGAGCATAAATTAGTGTCTAATATGTGGCTTAAATCATTTATCATAAAAATAATTGACGTTCCCCTCAACTAATTATAATGAATAAAATAAATTGTCATCAATGTTGCATTTTTTTTTCAGAATGTATAAGACTAGTTGCAACAAGGATATTAGAAAAAATCCAGCCTACAATTTATGTACTGTGACAACATACTGTTTTATTTTGTAATGCACTGTTGGATATAACATTGGAACGGATCTATCAAAGAACATGCCAGAAAGTTGCTCAAAAGTATGTCCAAAATCCTTTGGAATACAAATACCCAAGGAGAAACAAGGAAATACAATGTCATGTAAACGGTCATACATGTAGATCTGGACTAAGGAATATGTATTACTAACTATCTTTGCACAAACTTTGATACAATTCTTAAAGAATAAATACATCACTCTACACAAATGTACAGTCTCCTCTGTAATACTTCACTACTAGCTGCCTATGGGTCTCTGAGACACTTGGAAAAACCTTATCTAACTTCACCTTGTTTGAGTTATATTTGGCATTGAGTGCAGTAAATTATTTGGCTTTGTGCAAACGGTTTTGGACTGTGCACCAGTGCCCCCTGTATTCTGGTGAATGAACTGCACCAGCAACACCCAGTAAACTTTGTCCCAAAGCCACTTGGAAGAATGGCTCTATTTACAGTAACAAGCCGGTATGTCAACTTTGGAAACATTTCATTTGTGTCTAGAACTAAAGTAAGGATCTATGGATATGCATATGAATCTGTCCATAAATAAAAAAAAGCTTCTTATTTGGAGTTCAATACATGTACATTGTCTTTCTTGCCTGTGGTAACATGTAAAATTACAGGGAACAAAACTATTTCACACTGACTGTCCCAACAATTACAGTAACTGAAAAGCCATGGTTTTAGAGATTATAACATTTGGCAACTGTGGATTATGGATACAAAACCGACAAAATTCTTTTTTTTCCATAATAATTATTATGGAAATGACTAGTAGAATAAGAGTTAAATGTAAAAAAAATGGTACACAAATATTTGGCTAATATATTACAACCTGAACAGCAGTTATAATACCAAAAGTGGTTTCAAATTCTCTTTTGTAAATCTACAAGTCATGTTCAAACAATCTTTTCCAGAGAAGAGCACCAACTGGCCATGATGGATATCAGAACTGCATCTTCAACTTTGAAAAAAAAAAACAGAAATCATAAAAAAATCAGGCTACTCTATCATGTACTGGAGCAAAGATTTACTTCCAACAAGTTGGCCACCTTACTTGTTGTTCCTATGTCATAAGGGTTCCTGACACCAGAAATCATGACCTTCAGGACTGACTTCTGGGGTTCCTGACACCAGAAATCATGACCTTCAGGACTGACTTACAAGAACTACAAAGTATTTAAAGGAACAAAAGACAGACAATTTACTTCAAGCACCTGCTGCATATAGATACATATTTAACAACTGGAAGAACTATGACTATAAGCTGTTTGGTACAACATGGCTGTGGGTGATCTGTATAGTTCTGAAGACATAAGACATGTCGAACTAAGACTTCAAACCGTGAGTCAAGAAATAAGGGTGGGAGATTTGTACAGACGGAACCTCCAAAGATGTTGGCAGAATTTAAAGGAAGAAGTCTTAGACATGGTTCTGAAGACATAAGATTAATACAACATGTACATGTGGAGCTAACTATAGACTTCAAGGCATGCGTCAAGAAATAGCAGTGGGAGATCTGTAGGGAGAAATTTTGAGGGCCGAATCTCCGAAAACATTGTTGACTAGGAATTCATAAGGAAGAAGGCATAGTTCTGAAGACATACATGTGCATGAATATGTAAGACATGTGTAACTAAGACTAAGTCTTCAAAGCTTGCGTCAAGAGATGGCAGTGGGAGATCTGTAAGGTGAGCTGGTGAGGACGGAATCTCCGAAGAGGTTGGCGTAAGACAAAGAAGGGAACATTACTCTGAAGACATAAGACATCCCTATATATAGAACTAAGACTTCAAGGCATCTGTCAAGAGATGGCGGTAGGAGATCTGTAAGGTGAGCTGGTGAGGACGGAGTCTCCAAAGACGTTGGCATAAGACAAAGAAGGGAAGCATTACTCTGAAGACAAAAGACATCCCTATATATAGAACTAAGTCTTCAAAGCTTGCGTCAAGAAATGGCGGTAGGAGATCTGTAAGGTGAGCTGGTGAGGACGGAGTCTCCGAAGACATTGGCATAAGACGAAGACGGAAACATTACTCTGAAGACACAAGACATCCCTATATATAGAACTAAGACTTCAAGGCATCTGTCAAGAGATGGCGGTAGGAGATCTGTAAGGTGAGCTGGTGAGGACGGAGTCTCCAAAGACGTTGGCATAAGACAAAGAAGGGAAACATTACTCTGAAGACACAAGACATCCCTATATATAGAACTAAGACTTCAAGGCGTGCGTCAAGAAATGGCAGTGGGAGATCTGTAAGGTGAGCTGGTGAGGACGGAATCTCCGAAGACGTTTGCGTAAGATGACTTGAGGAAGGAGACGTAGTTCTGCATGCTCCTGTTGGTGGTGTTGGCCTGCTCCAGTCTGTCTGTCAGGTCCTGCAGCTTACTGTGGTGCTTACGCTCGTTCTGGGGGTGGAGAGGGGATAAACAGTTCCTTAGGTCATGCAAATACTTTAAATTTACAAAGACTTGAACTTTTAACCTTTAGCATGCTAAGGTAGCTGTTTGGCACAAAATTTGTATTAGTTGTGGGGTTATGCAACAGGTAGAAGGTTAAACTTAAAGAGGACTAACACAATGGAACACACAAATATCTTCTAAAATCAAGCCACCAAAAGGCAACAAAACACAATATCCCTTTGTAAAATAGATGTTATTATCTGATATAAGATGGATAAAAAATGTCTGAAGTTTTCAGACTTCAATCACTGTTCTGAGGTAAGTGCCCCGGTCTGGTACACTGAGGTAGTTACATTAATGTCGACCTCAACACTTTTAATATCAATGGCCTGTGCAGTTCTTACCTCTTCCCGTTGTCTTTTGATAGATGCCAGCTCAGATCTGACCCTGCTCAGCTGAGCCTCCAGGTCCAGGATACGGTTCTGGGACGAGCGCTCCTGGAGAGGGGACAGGATCAATATCAATTAATCAATAGATCAATCAGAGTTGTACAAGAGCAACAACAACATTGCAATATCTCTACCTTTACATGCCCTAACTGTGGTCAGGACTGCATAATTATATAATACTGCAAGAATTACAAGCAACACAAGACACTGCCCATAACATCAAATCTAGAGTGCTACCAACATCTGTCCAGTAGATATGGTAGCAAACCAACTAACATTCTAGCAAAAAATTGTGCCCACTTGAAACACAGATTTCGTGACAGCGGGACAGTCTAGTCCCCACTGTTGTCAAATTTTCTGCAGACAACTCCGGAGTTGCCCTATCGCCAGTACTGACACTGTCAAGAAAATCTGTGTCTTAGCGGGCCTTAGTGTACCTCAAACCTTGTTGGTTGTTGCTTGCCATGCCTTACCTTGTTACTAGCCTTGTCCCTGGCCTCCTCTGTCTGCCTCCTCATGTCCTGTATGGAAGCCTCCAGCTGTCTGCTGAGGCTGGCGTTTTCCCGCGCTAGCTCGTCACACCGCGCCTGCGTGTCATGGATCGTGTCTTCTCTCTTTGCGATGACCGACACCAGGTCGCGGTTCTGCGCATCAGACTCCTCAAGTTTCCTGGGAGGAAAGTATACATTTTGAATACCAATCACTCATGATACAAATAAATCCAGTGGCAAATACATGTGTCGGTAATATACAAACAAATCCTGTGACAGGCTAAATAAAAGTTCTAAACGGGAACTATGCAGCTCCAGGTGTCTTACTGAGGGACAGCATTTTGTGTAAGATGTCGGTTAGCTTGAGGAATGAATTGACTCTACTATATACATGTAATATACAAACAAACCAAGTTATCCTAAAGCAAATCATGAAGATCTTGTCTTGGCAATTATAAAATACTATAATACTATAACTTATAAAGTCATAGTTTTGTGAAATTCCATTGGTTATAGCAGTTTTTGTTCAGCTGTTAGCTACAGTATAAGACAGTCCCAAACCTCTGTAGAGAGTCCAGTTTAGTCTGCAGTGCCCGGATCTCGTCCTCAGCAGCGTGAGACTTACTCCTGTGACTCTCCAGCTGCCCTGACTGGTCCTCAACCTGGGAAACACACAGGACAAGGTTTCAGACACGGCATTGCATATATATAGGAAATGAAAAAATTTGCTTCTGCAAGTGGGATAGCAGATCTTACAGAGCGAACAAAAGCTAACAGGCCTGGACTCTAGGCTAAAGCTAAGAAACATCCACATCATTGAATTTCTCAAATGAGGCAGTATTTTATTTATTTAGATTTGCCACTGGTACAAGAAATATACATTGTCAAGTGAAAGGTAGGACAAAACAGGTGTATTAACACCTTTGGAAGTTGCCCTCCCAGACAGTGACACAATATCACATACAATATGCCTCCAACCAACCTTGACGCTGAAGATTCTCCCCCAAAAAACACCCCAGGGCCTATGCTGGTTGAAAAACAGCATAGGGGGTCCAAATCACATCACAGGGGGCCCACATGTTCAAATAACCCAGTGAGAACTATGGAAGGATTTTAAAAATGTATGCCTCTGTCCAACCTTAACAGTGAGTTCTGTGATGAGTTTGGTGTGGTCGAGCGCTCGTTTCTCGTACGCGTTGATCCTGTCCGTCATGTCCTGGATCTTAATCTCTGACTCACGCAGCAGCTCGGGAAGCGGCTCCAGCTCCGCTAGTCTCTGCTGCAGACGGGTGCGCACCTGGGGTGGGAAATGGTAACTTTAATAAGGTATTTCGGTAGCCTTTTAGAGGCCGTAGGGGCCATGGGTTGTTAATCCACTGTACATGTTAGTGCATGGTATTAGATCTCTCTCTTGCCTCCTATAAACTTATTTCTGCTGGAGACACGTGTGCACCCGGGGGTGGGAAAAGGGCAAACTTTAAGGTAAGGGCAATCTAGTAGCCTTTCTGAGGCTGTAGAGGCCATGGGTTGTTAATCCATGCATGGTATTGGAAGGCGGAGCCAATCTCTCTCTCTTGCCCCCTAAAAACTTTTTTTCTGCTGGAGACGTGTGCGCACCTGGGGTAGGAAAAGGTAGACTTTAGGGTAAAGGTAGTCTAGTAGCCTCTTTGAGGCCATATGGGCAGTGGGTTGTTAGTCCACTGTGTCTATAGGGTGCAGTATTGGAAGGATCAGATCCCATCCCTCTCCTTCCACTGCCTTTTACCTCCCCAACCAAAGTCAGGTACCCATTTTACACCTGGGTGGAGTAAGGAAAGTTGTGTAACACAACCTTTTCAAATGACCTAGCTTTCCAAGAACATTTGGCGTAACACACCGGCTTCTGTATCTGTACCAGTATAGCTAGCCATATCACACCGAAGCACCTTTCACACCTAACCTTAAGTTTGTACATCTGAATATAACGTTACGTTGTTTAAAGTAGAGTGATGATGACCCTTCTGTACTAGTGGTGGCAGCTAGTTCCAATCTAAAATAGTTCTAGGAAAAACATGTTTTTGAGATGTTCCAGTAGGACCCACCCTCTCCAGTTCCTCGCTGCTCTCCTCCTGCAGTCTGGTCCTCTCCAGCTCAGTTCTCTCCAGTCTCACATGGGCAGCTTCTGCCTCACGCTGGGACGCATTCATCTGGAGATAGGGGTTCAACATAACAGATGTTAAACATCCTGATGCATGAGGTGTTATTTTTCTCTGTTTATCTGAAGTTTTATTTTTTAAACAGACACGTCATTACACATTGACAGCACCAGATGCAGGAAAACTTGCCACACCTAGTTGCCATGCAGTCCACATACAGAAATATATATTTTACTACCTTTGTGCTATGCAGTCTGCACATTGTTTTCATGCATACAAGCCTACCATATTCCACATGCCACCGTTTTACCCTGCAGCTTTGACTTGTCTTTGAAGAGTCATACACATATAGTACTTTGTCTAGTAGCTACACTTTACTACACAAGATGCTCAGTATTTTTATGCATGCTCTACAGGAGAGATGTGCGGGCTCAGCAAACTGCACTCATGCTACAGGCTGCTAGGAGGCGATGTGACAACTACAGAGAGTGCCTGAGGTATGAGTGAGACGTGTGAGCTGTTAGGGGAGGGTTACTGGTGCAATGGTGCAGCAGGCATTGGTAAGAAATGTAGGAATGGATCTGGGAAGGGCCATTAACTCAACACAATAGCTCATAATCTTTTTAATGATTTCTGGATTTAGCTGATAAAGGTTAAAATCACGGACTCCTATCCTGGGCTACAGTATTTTCTAAGCACAATCGGAGCATATTGCTTGGACATCATGGAGGTCTTTTTTCAGTTCTCAATACTAAAACCATCTTAAAAAATTTCTGTCTGTATTTATTTGCAAACTCAGGTTGCCAGGAAGGATAACGTTTTTGTTAAACTTTAAGGCCTTTCCCTGATCCTTTCCTCCTAAATAAAAAAATAAAAACAAAACCACCGGTTAGTGTCCACACTACACACTACACAAACACTTCCTTATACAGGCAAGCGGGTATAGAGGTATATAGAGGTGGAGAAGTGAGAGAGAGAGAGAGGTGCGTCGCGTACTTGTAGACGCTGGCGGTGAAAGTCGTACATACCACGTGGAGAGCGTAACAGTGCGGACCGTGTACTTTCACCATCTGAGAGGAACGAGAGAAGGAGAGACACAAGTGTGGAGGGCAGGCCGTGTTTGTTACACCGAAACCACGTTAGCCAGAGAGTGTCAATCATTCAGGAGTAAGGCTAGTAACTGTTGTTTGAGGAGGGTGTAAGTAGAGTGAAAAGGAGGGACAGGGTGACATAGTTACACGATGCTTAGTTCTGCACACTCAGAAGATTAAGAAGCGGGTACCATCTGAACACACTGACTTCTGTAGACTCACAACGACCACATAATACAGAAATCTTGGTCATTCAAAACAGAAATAATCTCCAAGCACACACTAGTACATGGTTTCAGCTTGATAATGTAATATTTTTGCCCAGTCACATGTATGTGAATAATATAATGAAAAAAAATGTGCCTTTTAAGATGTACCTACAAAGAAAATAGCTAAAAACGAGGTCAAGAATGCAAAGCATCTTTGGCTCTTTTTTCGTAGGTACATCTTAAGTTAAAAGCCGCATTTTTTCATTATTTACTTAACTACTAGTCTTCAAGATGGATTTTTTTCTGGTTTGGATGAGCAAGAATGGACACAGTGTGAACAGAACCCACGACACAATGCCCCACGTTTGTTCTTCCTACAACAAACCTTCCTGTGGGATCCACGAGGCTGGTGGTGTCAGGTAGAGGAGAAATTAGTATGAAATCAAAGAGAGGAAAAACAATCAAGGATGAGAAAAAATCAAGGAATGTTTGCAGACAATGCTAATTTGAGAAGCACACATAGCATGGTCAGCATAAAATTTATGAACAGGTTGCCATCGGACAAGCAGATGAATTTAAAAGGTAAAACATAAATAAAACATAAAACAAAAATTGTTATGAAAAGATACCAACTAAGCAAACTAGAGAATGGAATTATTATAATAACATTTTTCTATACATTTAACATTTTTCAAGTTCAGTTCCCTATTATGAGAATTATCTTGGCCATTAATACATACATGACATGTATAATTTATATCATTTCTATAACAGTTCATTACTTCATTAATGTTTTCCAGATACATGCTTGCTAACTTAATGCCTACACCAGCATGAATTGATTATGCAGGTGTTGATCTTGTCTTATTCCTAATCCTTATAAATAGCCAGCAGGCTAAGTAAAATGTCCTGTAGTAGATGTGTGTAACACCAGTGTGTTCCCTACCTGTTGTTTGTACTCAGTGACCAGGTTTTCGTACTGCCTCACGCTGGACTTCAGCTGGGTCACATCTGTCTGGGAGGTGATCAACTTATCTTCCATTGTAGACACTTGGTTCTTTGAAAGCAAAAAAAAAAGAAGAAGAAATTCAAATTTCTAAAATGTACTGTGAGGTCACATCAATTTGATTTGTTGTTTCTTGGATTTCAAAAATAATGTTAAACTGTAAATAATTTTATCAGGTTCAAGTGTGATTGAATAGCAAAGTTCTCTATTCACGACCACTTGTATATACATTTGCCAAGATCCCATGTTTCAATGATCTGTCATCTTCATATATCAGTCATACATAAATAGGCAATCTTTAATTTATAAAAAGGTTGGCTTTTGTTAAACATGTGGTTATGTAAGTAAAGAACATTTAATTTGCTATTCGATAATGCTATTATATATATATAGAGAGAGAAGTATAGAATAAAGAATAGAATAGAACATGAAAATATTAGCATTAAAGACACTCAGGTCCTTTGAATAGTTTGATACACGGTCTTGTTACCTGCAGTCTTTCATTGTCGATCTTGAGAGAAGCTACTTCGTTGGCCTGTCTCTGTACCCGCTCTGTGAGAGTGTCGGTGTTTGCTCGGAGTCTGTCCTCCGTGTCTCGTAACTGGCGATCCAGATCCTTGTTACGTCTAAAAAAAAACAACAAAATGTCTTCAATAATTTGACATGATATTAGTCTAACAACATTGGGGAGACTTTACAAGAGACTGTGTAAATCTCCAAGATCAGTTACAAGACTTTCATGATACATTGTAACTGCTACAGAAAAAAATTCAGGAGAGAACAGACAACTAAGTACTAAGTAAAACACAAATTTCAAAAAAAATTTCCTTGATTGTAGAATAACATTATATCTGAAGTGTGTCCATTTCCAGCCATTGTAGTAAGCTTTTTTGGCTATTGATAATGTAAAGGTATAGACTGAAGTAACCCTTGACCTACCCATGAAGCACTGCGTTCTCTGACTCGACCTGTGACTTCTGCTGAGTGAGTCGGTTGTTCTGAGCCTTTAACTCACCGATGGAGGCGTGGAGGTCAGCAATCTGGGCTTCCTGACGGGACACAAAAAACAGGAAATCAATTATAGTATTGAAGAGAGACAAATCAATATCTATTTAGATGAGGCAACATACAACATGGTAGTAAGCTATTTTTGGCCAAAGGGGATAAAGTACGGGCAGCCTTCACTTGAGAGGACATAAGCATACTTAACATGTACTTGTCCGTGTTCAGAATAACAAATCGATCAAAGGTAGACACTGCAAACTCAATCCATTCATAGACATCAATAGGACCCATTGGAGAGAAGACAGCTCTTGATGGCAGCTCTATAAACACATTTACAGGTCAGTAACACCGAAGCTACCTTCTCCATGATTGTGGCATTCATCCTCTCCACAGTGTTCTCACTCTGCTCTGCTCTCTGCTTTTGCACACGGGTGGCTTTCTTCAGCGCATCTTTGTCACGGTCTGCCTTGTCCTGAGAAAAAAAAGGAAAACTTAAGAACTAAAGAACTAAATCATGCAATATTCATGCAAGGTGTAAACTTCATTCATATTTTGTGTAACAGATTAAGCCATTAGGAAATAACTGTAACACAACAAGCATCAATAGTGCTAAATGGAGCATTAATGACTCAGAGACATTAGGCTAAAGTATACAAACCTTTGCTCCCATAAGTAGCTCTTGTGTATGCTCTCTCTCTATTCTTTCCTGCTGCAATTGTTTTTCTAAACCCTGGAGGAAAACACAAAAATGACACAATGAGTAAATCAATACATGCAAACAGAGTAGACAGATAGATCATCACAAGTTTTCTTTTCTGAACAAACTTGAACAACAGCGAGTCATTTTTTTGTGGGGGGAGGGGGATCTATTTAGGAAAAAAGTTCTGAACTGCAAATTTAACATGAAGCCAGGATCATACACAGGTAAACAGGACCTTAGAATACACAGTATCAGGGAGTGATTGTAGCTCAATTCAAGTTTTCCTCCCTGTCCTGTTTACATCTTCAGGTATAGTGGCTAATTTTTGGCTCAGAAATGCCCAAGACTAAGGAAGCAAACTGGCACAGGTTTATCTCAACTCAATTGTTCCTCACCCTGATCTGCACGGCCATCCTGTTGTTATCAGCCTCCTTACTCCTCAGCTCCTTCTGTAGATGGGCTCTCGTCGTCTCCAGCGATGTCTGGACATTCCCCATCTGACGAGCATTACCCTGGAGATTAAAAAACAAATAAGTAGTGTTTAACCCAGCAGAACAGAAAAAACATAATTTCAACTATTACCACATAAAGCAATCTTGGAACTAAAGGATTGACTCAAACTGTAAAACTTGGAAGCTTAACCACTGTGTTCACAGTTAACACATTTTCAGCACCAAGGACAGGTATGAATCTTTCAGAGTTTCAGACATTTTGCAAACATGTGGACAAGTATAGAATGTGTGCTGTCAGTGAGTTCACAGGCCTTTAATCTATTGCCTAGTTCCATTTTAGTGTAAAACCTGGTAGCGTGTCCCATATGATTACAGCTAATACCTTTTCAGCACCAAGGACAGGCACATTAGAGCTTTAGAAGTTTTGATCACAAAACAGTGAACAAAAAAAGGAGACAACTGTAAGTTAGGACTGACCCGCTCTGCCTCTAGCATCACCAGCGACTCTTCAAGCTTTCGTTCCTTCATCAGAAGGTCGTCCCGCAGGCGCTGCATGCAGGCAGAAACACAAGCAAGCTGACAGAGCGCCCAACAACCAGCACATGCACTAACTGTAGTACTGACCATATATTATACACAAAGTACATAACACTTCCTAACAGTAAGATAGTAATTTTGTCTTTTCAAACTGGATAGAATTATAATAAGCAAACGTATAATAAGCACCCTTCATCAGTGCAACTTGCATGTTTTCTTACAGTTACTACGTACCCTGGATGAGTAGTCTTCACAAACGTTTCCTAATATTGAATGTTAACAGTTAGCAAACAGGGTGAGTGCATTGCAGAATGCACATCATCTTTTTATATGGTCAGTTGTGAAAGTTATAGTCACCATGTTTTACATTACACCAAGCAAAAGCAGTTGAAGCACTGTAACAGTTCAAAATTACAAAGATAAAGTACCTGTACACCTCTAAAGTAGTCTACAGTAGACATTGTGACCACTATTTCAGCACATCTGATGGTGCCTTAGATTATTTTTTTTCATTAACCCAAGCATTAAGCATCCTATCTATCACTATAGACACTTAATGCTTGGGTTAATGAAAAAATAATCAAAGGGACCATCAAATGTGCTGAAATGGCAGCCACAATTGCCTAGTGGTGGTTCAAATGTGCAGTACAATTTATTGTAGACAACAAAACTGTCTTGATCTGACACTCAGCAGTGACTTGAGTCCTGTCTATAGAGATAGTCTGGACTTTTAATGCTTGGGTTAATTGAAAAAATAATCAAAGGGACCATCAAACGTGCTGAAATAGTGGTCACAATGTCCTAGTGGTGGTTTGAGTGTGCAGTACAATTTATTGTACACAACAAAACTGTCTTGATCTGAAACTCAGATTGCTGCACCAGCAGTGACTTGAAGTATTATACTGTACAGATAACTGACTGTTATACTGACCACGTTGTCAGCCTCCACATCAGTTAGTCTTCTCATCAGCACATCTTTCTGCTCTATAACACGAGATGCGTCTGCCTGTAGGGCACAGAAGGGGGAAACAACATGCACGGGTTACACTCTCACTCCCACTCTGTTCTTTTTCTATATTGCAAGTAGAAATTGTAAGCTGAAATGGCCTTGCTATAAACAAACTGCCCACCAGAAGCCTGACATCTTTCCACATCACTACAGCTACAGCATTATGGTTAGAAGGGTCCATACATTATGAGTCGCACAGACATGCATGTGCATGCATACAGTCACATAAGAATCACACACATACACAGTCATTTACCATCTGGTTAACAACTTTCTTTGCACACAATCAGAGAGTTCATACAGTACCTACAAGTAGATAGCTTGGCAGGGTCCTTGCCAGGATTTTGTCACAAAATTTTGAAATTCATGATTCATGACCAACTGAAAAAGCATTTCCTGCATTTTGACAGCCCAAATTTAATGTTGCCCTGCACGAGGAAGGTGGCAGGCAGTTATCAGCTAACTTCAAAGACTCTGGTTGTGTGCAAAGAACTTTCAAATTGTTAACCTGTATATGGACCCTGTGCCACCTTATAACAGACAACAGAGTCTAGTGTTCCACATACCCCACTTCCCTCCTGCGCATGCAGGATGCACGGACCCTGGCATATCACACACCAGGGTACGTATGGCTGCACCAGGAAACGTGAGACAGAGAGTTTCAGGGGTTAGACAGTGTGTTTCACAGCTTATCTGGAGTTGTGTTACAAGGAGAAAGTCTTCAGAATGCATGGTAGGATTCAGTTCACTTAAAAAACTTAAAGTTTGTCTCGTATAATATCTGCCAAACAGACAAATCATCTTAGACTAGCATAACGAACACAAGATGTACTTCCTAGTGCAGACACATAATACATGACTGTACAATTTTCAATTTTCTAATAAAATCCCTTGTACCAGGAAGTTAGAGTGAACAGTAACAAGAGAAGAAAATCAACCAAGGAGAGACGCTGTCTACATTCAAAAAGGAAACAGATGAACCAGGCCTGAGTGTGTCTGATTACCTCCTTCCTGTACTGGTCCTGCAGCAGAGTCCTCAGGGTTCTGTTTGTGGACTCAAACTCGTCCAGACGCTGCATCAGGAGGTCCTTCTGTCTGGCCAGCGTGATGGAGTCCTCAGCCGACATCCTTTTGTCCTGCAGAACAGATTGATGTTTTTTTTTTCTTTTACACTGGTCAAACAGCTACAGTGCACTGTTTTTGGTGCTCTCTAAAGGCCTAGAATTTGTCCTAGTATCAGGAAGCTTGAGTACAATCCTACAGGTAAGGTAAACTTTGTATAGTTCATAGCTGTGGGTGCTATATTGAAAACTACTGAATATCAAGCCGAATTTGCAAACTCACTAGGGCATGTACCTTGACTAAGGGCTAATTTTACAAAATATTAATATAGTTAATGGCAGAGCAAAAAATTCTACAAACAGTTAACAAATTATTTAAAAAGTTGAGGAAAGTTATCTTAAAGATATTTCAAACTATACATCATTTTGGCATTTGAAGAGTAGAATCCTCTATCGACATAAGAGGTGTATCTCACATCACGTAGTCTGCGGATGGTAGAGCGTAGTTCCTCCAGCTGCTGTGAGGCTGCTGACCCGTCCATCTCTGCCTGTGTGAGTTTCCTCAGCAGCAGGTCCTTCTCTGCACTCATACGAGACTTCTCTGAACTGTCAGGAACGTAACAGAAGGGCGTTATTTATAAACCCACGCAACATGATACAAAGTTGATACACAGTCACGTCTCAGTAATCTAATTTGTTGCTTAGACTAAGAAAAAACCAAGACTGGAACATCAATTGTTTACAATATGAAAGTATGGGAAAGAAAATGTGTACATTCTAAGTTTTATACACTGTCAGGTATATTCAGTGGATTAGTAATATGTGGACTGTCCACCTTGGACATCAGATTCAAGTTTTTGTTCCGGACTTGAGTTGGTTTTCGTGATGCACTCTTACTTATTTTTCCTTAAGAATGTCCAATACATTGGTGTGGCAAACATTTAGATTTACTCACAAATAATAATAAAACTAAAACATGAAACTGGAATCTGGGACTATTAAGTTTAATCATATATAATTCAGAGTCGTAAATCAGAAGTCTGCTTGTCAGATCTACCTGGTGAGAGCGACTGAGTCCTTGAGTCTCTCCACGCTGCGGCGCAGGCGCTCGTTTTCCCGCTCCGTGACGGTCAGGTCCGTCTTCGCCTCCCTCAGCTCGTGCTCCTGTCGCAGCAGGGCATGCTGGGATACGTCAAGCTTGTCCTTTGTCCTGTCCAGCTCTCTTTCTTTCCGAGCCAGATCAGCCTGAGGAAAAATAAATCAATTTAGTATTCAATGGATTAAGAAAATTAAGGAAAGAAGTAACTTGCATGTACCTTTCATCACTTCTGTTTCAGCTATGAGTATTGGAGCTACTCAAAGCAGTGGCATCATTTTACAGTTGAGAAACAATTATAAGTAGCACAGAAAAATTACAAGACACAATACAAACTGTGGTAAATTATGAATTTAAGGTGTGTTTTTATGATTTCTCAGTAAGACTAGCCACTGTGAAAACTACCAGGGGAAATACAGGGAAATCCCCCATGGACATTTCATGATTCACACACCACCAAAATGCTATGTCTATTAAATTATTTCTCGTACATGAATTAGGAGGTTTTCTTCTTAGTACCTCGTTCCTGAGTGTGCCCATCTCCGTCATGAGACTGTCGATCCGTTTCTCGTACTGCCGAGCGTCGGCGTTCCTCACGTCGTCGGCGTCAGCCTCCAGGTCAGATCTCCTCAGGGCAGACCTGTCCGCTGGGTTAATCTCCAGTCGAGCGGAGTCTCCCTGCAACAAACATCAGGAAAATTTACAGATGAGCCACGTACTGTAAGAGATTTGAAACATACAAAGATATCCTGAGCTTTCAAAGTTCAACTTCAATCATTTAGAAACTGTATTACCTGAGGGTATGATGTTACAGCAAATACATTTTGTACTCAAATACAAAATGTATACACCTAGTAGGATGCACGACTAACGGTTTTCCACACACAGATAAAAATAAAATGATTCTCCTAAGCTTTCTCTAAGACCAAAGAAATATGATTAATAAAATTATGAGGAATATGATTAATTACTTTTGATTAAAGATAATTATCTTGGCAACATCCTGCAGACTTCACCTTAATATTAGCAATAAATCAAAGGCCTGACATCCAAGACTCCTGTCTGGATATATAGCACAGCCTCAAGCTAGCTAGATACTACACGCATGCATACGTACAACAAAGTGTTTGTCGCAAGTATCAATCTACATGCACAGCTATCCCAGCATCATTAGACGAAGTGTGACTAAAACCCTCATCGGGCCTAAAAGCAGTTACTGTAGTAGTATATCATAATGCAACTGCATATTGGCTACCATCCAAAACAGTGCAACACCATTATCACAGCAGGACTGGGTATAATGTGGAGCCATCCCTGCCAATTAGGGTATTGGGTTATACAGAACTGCACAGCTCTAGTCTAATGGAACCAACTATTTGGAATTTCCTTCAGTGGAATTTAAGGACCAATTACAAACCTTTTAGGGCTTTTAAATCACATTCTCCTATGAACTACTGCTGACAGTGGGCACTTTAAATGCCTACTAGTCGCACCAAATAGTATGATAATCAAGTATGGCCATTCAAGAAAACATTTTTAAATTAGCAATTTGTTTGAGTTAATAGTCTGTTACTGTCAGATGAATAAAGCAAGAACTGAGATCTACAGACACGTATATGCAAGTAAGTTAGTGTAGGACTCAGGTGAAGATGAGAAAAGATGCTTCAGATAAGTAAAAACTGTTCGGCTGTTTCACAATTGAGTGTACCCATTTACTTTTCCACATGTTACCAGTTGATAGCAAAGTCTACATGATATATTGATGTTTCAGACTTATATTTCCCAAAAGCTGGTGTGACAAGGAACATTACAATAAAAAAAGTAGGGAAATCGGTCAACATTTGGCGAAACTATCGACAAATATCTTACTTAAAAATGCCCCATTTTCAGTGTTACCAGCCGTCATTCAGTTTTTTCACATAATTTCTAACCATTGCTGCAGACATCACAAATATGGTTGCTAGCTTAAGATTTCTTATTTTGTACAAGCAGGCATATGTTTACTAGAGATTTGTTACCAATTTTTGAAGATACACCACCTTTTTTTTGCCGGGAAGGTTATTTTTCACTTTTACCCCCATGTTACCAATTTTAGTGAAATATTTACTTAAAGATTGCAAGGTCTTTAGCATTGTTTAATTATGCTGTTATAAGTGCTAGTTTGACATGTAAAGGTTTAATATGATGTATGTAAAAGAAAAAAAATTGAATGAGATCATTCCTACTTTCATCTGACTCACAGCTAAGGATTGAAGTACAGGCTGCCATTTTCCGAAAAATTTTGTCCCGTCCGTACCCCCTCTTGATTTCTACATTAAGTAAATACTATAAGCTTCTAATTGTGATGGCTTATAAGTCTCTATTGGCATATACCAAACCACCATAGAAACCATTTCTGTGATAAAGACTTTGCCTGATATAGCACAACAAACCCCCAAATGTCCCGTCCGTACCCCTGTCCCGTCCGTACCCCCCACCTGTCCCGTCCGTACCCCCACTTTTAGTTTTTAGCCAAGTACTGTGGAAAATGGCATTCCAATTGCTTGAAATACACATAGTAAAACCTTAAAAGATAGAAACATTTGTCCTCCTTACTAAAATTAGTAGTTTTTCATGAATTCATCAACATTTGCTTTCACCCGGAGGAAGCTCTTGTGGACATTGTCTACTCCGGACTCACGTGCATGTGAACCAACTTTAGAGAACTGTTCTGGTTCTCTGAAAAATGTATTAACAAGCCAAGGTGTAAAAGAAAACATACCAGTTCATGTACATTTTGTAGCTGTGCTAGAAATTAAGATTCCTTCAAGGGAGGAGGGTTGGCCAATAACTCTGAATTTAGACTACAAATCCTGCAGCGCCCCCCCCCATTCTTTTCTTTGAGCACACTCAAATATATAAATGTACAGGTTCTGATATGTTATATTATGTTATTAATGCTGTTACTAATGTTCCCAAAGCCTTTTTAGCAATATTAGTAATTAGGATCCTTAATACCTACTAGTACCATCAGCTGATTTTTTTAAGGAAAGCCCTAAATTATATAAGCCAGAAAAAGTTTCTGTTCATACTATAATATACAGAAAATTCTAATTAGAATGTCCAGCTCCCTTTTCCTTAGTCTAGACACTATTACAGTGTTTGTAGATACTTCATTTCACTGGTATTAGTGAATAAATGTGTTTCAAAAGGTTTGGACAAGTCCCTGCAGTATCAGTCTTTTGACCCATTGTGTCCCGTCCGTACCCCCACATACAATCATAAAAATGATCATTGAAAAGTCCATTGATGTGTTTCCAAGATATATAAGCTAGAACCTTTTGTAGAAATATATACAGAATGAAATAATAACAGAGTTAAGCTTCCAAATTGCCTGAACTTGAAAATTTGGTATTTGACCTTTCCTTGAACATGAAATGGCAGCAAGTTGTTTTCCTCGCAATATAATAAATGACCAGAAAATGACACAGCAAGGTGTTACTGCAAATCAAAGTCAGTTTTTTGGTGTTGTGGATACTAGTAATGGAACATAATGTGGAATAGTGTTTATCTTTTGTTCTTTATTTGGGTATATTCTATGTAACTTTACATACAGTCTTGCAGTTGTCCCGTCCGTACCCCCTTAATGACCCATTATGTAAAAGACCTGTATCACAGTGACCGAGATGTGTTGTGCAGAGATATTTTAGGATATGAAGCCCAAAGTATGTACCTTTGAATTGCCAACATACATTTTGAAGTATATGAAAGTTGATTTTTCACTCCAAGTGACAGCCTTTTGGTACACTCAATTGTGAAACAGCCGTGTTAGAAGTGCAGGCAGCAATATAAATTAGCTGGTCAACTTTTTTCCCATCTACATGTAGTTTGAGAGTTAAATTAAAGTTTGTAGTTTGAATAACTTTTTTTTAATTAACAGCCTGGGTACTAGTACATGCAAGCTTTATTGTCTCGCTGTGAACAGCACTAGTAGATGTCTGTACTAACTAATTACTGGTAACTAGTAACTACATTTAATTGTGTTGTAGCAATTGCAAGATATAGCAGAAGTGTAATGAATCAGTACACAAACACATGCAGTCTTTCCACATGCATTACTTCTTGCTTTATTCTTTGAGATGTGATGTCCATCCAACCACCAAGATTTCGTCCTTATAAACCCCAAAGATCTAAGCCACCAGCAGTGCAGGTTTGCTGCCACCTGAAGTTACCCAGCTCCTCTCACCTCCAGCCCGTACCCCTTTCTCTTCATCCAGGACAACCACAGATCGTCCAGACTCTCTCGCTGTTTTTTCTTAGTCCTGAACTTTTTACGCCTTCGCGGGGTTAGCCAGGGGTACTGGAATGTACATGTACACAGTAGTCTTGAAGTTAGGTTTGTTCACTCTAAAGGTTCTGAGTTCAAATCCCTAGAACTGGCCCCAAGGATGTGCCCTTGGGAAATTTTTGTTGAAATGAAAAAAAAGTTTAGCCTTCACTAGGATAACCAGGGGTACTGGAAGGTAAATTGTGCAGTGTTCTTGTGGTTAGGTAGGTGTGTTGACTATGATGTTTTGAGTTCAAATCCCCTAGCACTGGCCCCAAGATTGTATTGTGCCCTTGGGAAATTTTTGTTGTAATGAAAAAAAAGTTTAAATAGCCTTCGCGGGGATAACCAGGGGTACTGGAAGGTACATTGTGCAATGTTCTTGTGGTTAGGTACAAATGTATGTGTGTTGACTATGATGTTTTGAGTTCAAATCCCTACGTACTGGCCCCAAGGATGTGCCCTTGGGAAATTTTTGTTGTAATGAAAAAAAGTTGAACAACTTGCAATCTGGCAAGCTAAAACAAGTAATAGAGTTAGCTTAGGGTTTTGCTGAATAAACGTTCTGAGTTCAAATCCCTAGAACTGGCCCCAAGGATGTGCCCTAATGGGAAATTTTTGTTGTAATGAAAAAAAAGTTTATCCTTCGCAGAGATAACCAGGGGTACTGGAAGGTAAATTGTGCAGTGTTCTTGTGGTTAGGTAGGTGTGTTGACTGATGTTTTGAGTTCAAATCCCTACCTACTAGCCCCAAAGCTGCTCCCTTGGGAAATTTGTTGTAATTGCAAAAAAAAGTTTAGCAACTTGCAATCTGATCGGAGTGGCAAGCTATATAACTAGTATAAGAGTTATTCAAGGCTGTAAAAAAGTCTGAGTACCAAAAATAAATTTCCAGCCTAAATGATGGGCCGATTCCTCCCGAACAAATTCCTTGAAAATTTCCACTCTGAGAATCAGCCGACTGTGAGATGAGATGTCACCACATCCCATTCTGTCTGCCTCAGTGGCGATGCGGCTGGGCGGTTTAATTCTCCCAGGAACGCCCCTCGCCGCGCGATCCATATCTTTGAAAGCCCCCCTGGCATTTTACTCTCGTTCTGAAGATTAATGGTTCGAGATAAACGCGCTATCTTGTCACATCATCACTCGTAAACGGCTCAACATGGCGCGGTCCCAAAAGATGGCGAGGTTTCATTCTGTTACAATGATATCGAACTGAGCATGTAATTTATTGGAATTGTCTCATGCTCAATTTCATTTACATTCAAATTGCAGCTCCTCACATTATTTCCAAGTTGGCAACGAAGAAATGGACTCAGAGTCTACAATGAGGGTGCAAATTGACACTCAGAGCTTAAATTACTGTTTTTTTTCCAGACTAGCATAATACTGCAGCAAGGTTTAGTAATTCTTAATAAATTGTATTACTAATTATAATGATTGTATTCTGCTATAAATCAATACTGGCATGTAATTACATAATGGAATATTATGAAGAATTCAATATGCTTTGGGGCCGCATACGACTCTACTTACTATTATTATATTAAATTATACATTTTTTTTTATAAGTGTTGTGTCCTGGATTTAAACATTAGGTGCCAGGTCCAGCACAGCAAGTTGATCTTCAAGTTAACATGTACCTGCATAAATCATCACAATACAAAGATGTACATGAATGCAGGACTGGTACAAGTACATTTTGTACTAATGGAGCCCATCCTGATGTCATCATGCCTTTACTGTAAAGCCCTACACCCTAGAGTGAAGAATCACCCTGTCCTTATCATCACCCTCAGCCACAACAGCCACAATCTTCTCAATTTACCTGAGGGAGCGGGGTAGGTTTAAGATCTCACCTACAGGTAATACATCTGGTATGTTATACACCACGGCACACTTCAATGTCAGGCTTGGTTAACCTTTCTAGCTTTCTGATTCTGCCTGGAGTCAATCTGATTCTGAAAGTGGCGCTTGGGGATGCTATAAAAAAGTTGAAGCTGCAATATATTTAAAGGTTTTGGTACAATTTTCATTTCCAATGAACAATTTTGAACTATTTCCAATTTGCAATGACATTTGGTCTCATGAGATTTGGTACGAAAATTCTGCATAAAACTACATGACATGTATGATAGTTGGAGTTTTTCATGAAGGAAAATTATGGTTTCAAAATAAAATGTATGATTGAAAATTAAACACGGAACATTTTTTCATTACCAAGGGAATGTCGAACTCAAGGAATTTAGCAAAAATAGATTTTTCACTCAGATAATACTACCAGGTCTATCAGTGAATACTGTTACAGTTGTAGTGTTATCAATGCTGCCATTACAAATACCCCGGCTGCGTGCCCCATGGCCAGCATTAGGCCGTACAAATTACAACACAGGCCTAAACCCCAGACTTGAACTTGACCTGCAGAGATACAGCTGATGACTTGGATGCATGCTGGGGCACAGAGGGGGCTTATAAGTTATATCTAGCTGAAAGTTGAAAATTGAAACGAATTCAGAGATCTACTAGTACTAGTAGACACTGAGTCTAGATCTCTGAATAATTCAATTTCAGAGTCTGATTGCAGTCATCATGGCTCAAACTTTTATGAAGGTTTATAGACATGAGGTAATAAAATAACAATTACTGAAGGAACTGGATAGATTTTGAAATTATATCCAGTTGCTTCAGTATAAGTCGACTATAACTGTTATCTTGGTGCCATGGGTGATATTTTACACACGTCTTATTAAACGTGAGTCTATAAAGATATTAGTACATGTAGGTTAGCCCAATTTGATATAGAATGAAATCAATCTTAATAATATGCATACACATCAGTGCACATAAATCAGAATAGGCCCATTATCCATGGAGACAGCCTGTCCTGAACTTGACCTCAGGAATATGATAGAGAATTTCAGTGTGTGAAGGCTGGGCCTCAGACAGGTCTTACACTGTTACAGTTTGTGGGTGTCTGTTTCAATCTCGTGTCTCAGCCAAAGAATTTTCATTGCGGGTGGAGAATTCATAACTTGATCAGATGAAAGGTAATAAAATGAGCTAGATTTACAAGTACAGTGTAAGGGCTGTTATTACAGTATGACATTACCTTTGGATTGTTAAAATATGACTTAAAACCAAAACTTGAAGCTGAACCCTTGAGTGATGTTAGAGTTGATGATTTGAATTTACAAGTCTTAGCCTTAGGCCTAAACAATCATGCAGTAAAGGGGCACAAAAACGCCATGGTTTCCAGGTAGCTATCAATCTTCTTACCATCATGATGGTGATTAAATACATGGCAGGATTTCTCCTTGCAGGTATACATAAGGTGGCTGATCAAAATAACTGAAGGATTAAGTAGGGAACAGAAAAAGCAATTCATTTTAAAGCTTAACTTTCTGGGCCTCTTTTAAACACAGGGTCAACTTTTGAATCTGTAAGTTTGCCTGCAGGGTAAGTACATTTTTTTACAATTTGTAACGTCAGGCCACACCAATTTAATTTGTTGGTTCTCGGATTCGCCTCTTCATTTTTTTCTGATTTGCAAAAAAAAAAATTGATTCTGGTCCTGAATCAACTGAAAAATGCTCATGTTTTGCCCCCCAACAGTTGAGGAAAGTCCTTTTCTTCCTAGTTGTAACAGTTTTCCCATCTATCATTGCAGTGGTTTGATTAAACGTTAAAAATTCAATGTTTAAATTTTAACCCAGCCTTTTGTGTTGACTTCATGGCTCATTTTGTAGCATTTAAGCCTATAATAGGATGCCTAGACCTGTTTTTATTTTTATTTTTCTTCGCCCTGTCGCTTCATATTTTTTTCTGAAAAAATCCTAGAACCAACAAATTAAATTGGTGTGGCCTCACCTTGTATATCATGTAAGATGACATGAATTTATGGTGCATTATAGCAAAGGGCACAGAAAGGGCCAAGCTTTTAAGCTTATGCTTTTAGGGTGTTTTCCCCCCACAAAGGTTTATAGATGACTGGCAAATGCTAGTTGAGGTCTGACCTCCTCTTTTGTTGAATGTTAAGTTCAGTTTGCTGTATGCATGGGTATGAAAGAATTAATGTGAAACGCAGTGCATGCATCATAACTGAAATTAGCACATAAAAGCAGAGAGAGAGCGATATATTAGGAGCTGTGAAGAGATGGTTTGATAATCAGAATGTAACTGTAAGTCCCAGTTCAAAGCACACTAGATCTACCCAGGGGTTGTGTTGCAGCTGATATCAAACAGAACACGCAGATTAAAGCTTACTTTAAGTCTGCATGACCCTGAAAACCACAGGAGGTTTACATAATGTAACTATGCAAGCAATCGCCTTATGACGTCACAGCCAGCATATAGTGAGTGGTGGGCAAAAAGTATGTGGTAAGTTGGTAATTGGGTGATTTGCACAACGAACAAATTGCAATCAATATATTGCCCATCAATAATTAATTGCAAACAAACCTGGAGTCTGGCTTTTACCTACATAATTATATAGGATACAGATGGCTAGAAATACTGGGAATTTTTACTAGTAGTTTTTTTCTAGTTTTTCTTCCCAAATAATTGCAAGAAATTTAAACTTTGTCCTTTTTTTGGCCACTGTGCACTACTCTCTACAAGCAATTAACTGAGCGACATCAAAAGCTGAAAGAACTTGAGCTACACTGGCTATAGCTGAATAATGCAAATTGCAAGAAAGCTGAGCATGACTAGTACTCTGATGGGTATACTCGCTAACTGAGAGCCTCTATCATGTAAAAAAAATGAAAAAAATTCTGATCACCTACTGAGGCTACAACTGTGAAAAAAAAGGTTCAGAATTCTGATAAGCTACTACAGGCTGATGCAAAAGAGCTGAAAAAATTTCTGATGACAGCTACAGGCTTATAACAGCTATGCGCTTTGCTGACAGCCATGCCACCACCACGTAACCTTAGTACACGTCGTACCTCCCAGGCATACTTCCCTCCGCGGGTGGACTTCCCCGGGGCCGGGACCCACGGCTCTTTAACCGGGGGGCTCTGGCTACGCGCGAGCGACGAGGGCGGGGGAGGGCTACGTACTCGTGAGGACGGCGGCCGGCGAACGTTCCCCGGACCTCCGAAGGTGCTGCCGCGGGCAAACCGTGTCCTCTTCATCCGACCCTGGAAACAACACGGAGGGAAAAAGAATTTAGAAATTAACTGGCTGTTTGTGACATTTTGGTAAAGCATTTTTTAATGCAAGATTTATCAATTTTTTAGAAAACACTGACTTCACTTGTCTTGAAATTCTCTTCTAAGTACATTATATGACTGTGTATATATGAGTTAATAGTACTTAAAACACAATGACTGACAGTGACAGTTAACTTATAAACCATTCCTGTAACTTAGTATATATCTAGCTATGTCTGCTGTAGTGTAAGTACAAATGACAACACTCAACAGTTACTGCTGGCCCCAGGTTAAAGCAAATTTATAACATTTATACAATACAAGGCCTGAGTTGACCTTCACGTGTATGATGTCAGCATCGACCATGTCTGAACTTCACTCCACAATCAATATCATCAGCAGGCAAACATCTATCATGATATCTCTGCAGACATTAAACACCCAGGATAATCAATCAACCTGACAACACCTCACATTCAAGCTGAGAGATTTGGGTAATCCTCGTCTTTCGCAGCCTTTCAAGGTGAAAATCTTTAACATACAGATTTCTGCTTTCAATCTTCTTAAGAAGTTTTAGAGTCATTGAACTTACTGAATGAAAGCCTAATATTTACAATAGATATTTCACATATACAGTAATATTAGTTTTTTACTAAGTACTGATAAGTGATATCAATAAAAAAAACATGTCTTCCCAGAGCCATCTTCTGAGCTACACATGTACGTAGTACAATGCTTTATAATCCTTCAAACACGTTTTTGTCAGACTCAGAGTAATCAGAGGACACAGCATATATTTTACCTCACAATACTAAACAAATTGCAATGCAAATTATACTAATATTCTTCCTCTCTGTTACTAAGTACATGTTTCTTGAAAGAAGTAGAAAGAATATTAGGGACCTATCACTCTGGCTGTATTATGGACCATTTACGTCACATTAACAAGAAGAATAATTTCCCATTAAAATGATTTATACTTAGCCATCAGCTCATCTTCTTTGTCTCCCTTTGAGGTTTTAAAGTCCAAGAAGCTCTTATCTCCCCATTACAGAAGACACATTGTGCCATCAGGGCAGGCGTAGGAATCATGGCAGGATTACAGACTTAATACAGCTTTTAAATTCTATACCTGGTCCAGCTTAATGCGTGTTTCCACAGCTCTAGCCTGAGGGAATGGTACGGTAGATGTGTCTCATCGATTTTCAGGCCAACTTTGGCTTTGCTGTTTTGAGGACATAACCCTAATCTCCAAGCAGATGTTGGGGTGGAAAATTCTGTGTTTTCTGACAGTCTTTGCCAGAAAAATTTGGTGTTCAGAAAACATTATCGATATCATTGCACGCCAGCAACTGCTTGGAGATTACTGTTTACAAGTGTTATTAAATCTGAGAAATTACTAGTAGGTACTCCTAAAAACCAATTTTTACAAGCTTAAGTTATCTCTCAAGTTAGTATTTTTCATAAGGAAATGAGAAAATATATTGCTTCTGCATGTTAATGATATTCACATGATAAATTACAACACAGTCAACACTAAAAGTCAGGTATGATATTTAATGATTTTTAAAACTGGTTTCTCTCAAGCCTTTAAACAAATCTGGCAAGTCATCATCAGCGCTCTTGAAAAGAATTGTTAGCTTTCCTGTAAACTAAAATAATACGTACATCTACAGCCTTTGCAGTGGCAGATTTCTTCCCCTTCTTGACGTGCACGTGTACAGGTGTCTCCTCGTCTACGTGAACATGGATGGGCGAGGTCCGACCTTCATCCATGGTACGGCCTAGGGACATCTGGAACAGGAGGGGAAATTATAGAGCCTCAGAGATCACAAGGCTACAGATCTGATACACGTTTATTCTCTTTAAGAATCATGAAGTCTTCATCGTCAATTGAATTACAAATTAAATGCAATACAATATTGTTTTGAACACACACACACTCCACCATTGGCCGAACCGAAAACCCTTCTGGGGAAGGCAGTAAAATGAGAAACTTGTTTCAGAACATCAAATTTGGGCATATATAGCATGTGAACTACAAATATTATGATTATAAATCACCCCACGTGGAACTTTGAGATGTGGCAATGTACATGGCACTTGTCATCCATGTACATGCCCCAGGGCCACAGGTTCAGACTTCGCTCCACATCAATCCTGAATAAGGGGATCCAGAGATAGTGGCTTACAAAATCATCTGACCTGCCAGACACGGTAATGGAGGGATTGTGCTCATCGCAACTCTTACGCCCTCCAACTTAATACATCGTCAACCTTGCAGCATTAAACGACCGTGAACATCATTCAGGAGTCAGCCATGCATGGTGGCAACATGCGTCAGTACTTCCTCGAGAAATAATTACCCTCTCTGTTTCATATTATTCTAATGTACGTTTGTATGTATGTACATGTATGTACTTCTAGTAACATGTTACAGGGAGCCTAGATTAAGTGAACTGAACACAACTTACCGGTAACTTGAAAATACACTCACTGAATGTACGCATAAAATTACCTTCCTTTACCTTGGGGCATCCCTCAATAATATAATATACATGTTATAAATATGGCAACAATTCAGAATTTCTGAAAACTGACCAATAAGCTTTTTGCTAACATTTTGGCTAATTAATGTCTCGACTATTATTCTGCATATTACAGTCAATATTGATTGAAATATCAACAATCAATATCAATATGAGAAATCGCCCACAAGGGTTGGAGCGTGCTGGAAGAACTAATTAAAATGTTACAGAAGGCCTCATCAATGGAGTTTACTTGCCTGGGATTTGGCAGTTATATTACATTGAACATTTGCCCTGATTATGATTATGGTTATGATTGATGCCATATGTTAGGCTAGCTGCTCTACAAGTGTACCTGAATCTGGGCCAGGGAGGGGGTTTTCTGTGCTTGAAAAATCTGTGTCAGTTACTCATTACTATTATTACTATATATTATTAGTAATATTTGTGTAAAAACAGGCAAATAGATCAACAATTCCAAATTTAAAGTTGAGTTTATGAAATTATTGTTATGATATGTAAGGAGTTGTCATCATTTTCATACTGTACATGTACTACAGTTTGTACAAGAAAACATTTAAGTCTTCTAAATTTGATTATCAGATATATCATTACTGATTTTCTAAAAAATAATTACTAAAGTATTTCATTAGGCTTCTGCAGAAAGATAGCCAATTATATTTATATATAATATTATTATTGATTAATTTGAAAACGGCAACTTGACTTTGAACATTTGAGATCTAACGCTTTTCCCCCAAAGCGCCCCGGCATGAATATTCCACATATGACCTTGCGGAAACAAAGATGAACTGCCCACCACACCACATCTGTCAGGTGTGCATGTACGGAAGGTAACATGATGGGCGGAGGGCCGCATTTTACATCTGTTACAGTCCTTCTGTATTATTTTGAAAGAGAACTCCCGTCATCTGAATTATTCAGTAATGGCCTGGGGCTACTGGATACATGTACATCTGCTTTTGTCTATTCTATTACGAAGACCTATTTCTCATTGTAATTTAGCCATTGGCTAAAAATAAGTGCCCAGAATAGATTTTTGAACACAGGAAGGTATTTTTGGAAACCAATTCATCCCAAAATTAATAAGTGGAGCCAGATTTTATTTAATCCGAAATGATTTTTAACATCTAACAACAAGATTGGAAGTAGCAGTATAATAAATAATCATACTACTAATAAAAGTAGTAACATATGTTACTACTTTTAATAAAGCAGCTGAAGCTGTAAAATATAAACCTGTCAAATACTTTAGGAAAATGAGAAAATGCCACAATACAGACAAACCAATTTTATTAGCTATAATATTTACCAACATGGGCTTTAGCAAATGTGACTTTTAAGTTTTATGGCATGAACGGCTTTCTGGCTTTGATGTGTTGGAATTTGGATTACCACAAAATCATTAAGAAAACATCAGGTCCGTTTAGACTGTTGATTGAACCGTAACAAAAACAAGCACTACACAAACATGTAGGTGTTTGTCTTGGGCAAGTTATATTGCTGTGTCAACTTACAAGGACTGTTACAATTTATTTACAAGGGATTGCAAGGGCAATTAAATACATAAAATACACCACATTCCAATCAGTCTCTTTAACAGTTAGGAAATGAACTAGAAGACGATAATGCTAGTATAAATTATATTATGCTCTAGACGCCACTGCTAATATTAATTTGTAGTAACGTTATGCGCTAGTACTACTAGACAGCAGACAACGCCAACGCACAAAAATCATGTGAAAGATGGGTGTGTCGTCTGGACGACGCAAAACCCTACGCCAAGTGCAGTTTAATGTATACCCTACAAGATCAAGGTCAGAATATCATTCCCCAGACCTTAATCCTGTTCAAGTAGCGCTCGATAAGGGAGAAATAATCGCCATGGAAACGGAGCGATGACCACGTTATCGGAAGGTGACCCGCGGCGCGTCTAACTTTGATCGATGAGTTTCACCCTGGAGAATACACAGTTAGGAGCCGCCGGAAAGGTCATTTCACTTACCTTGGGTGTGTCTAGACTCTCCTAGAAACCTGGTTGTCTTCTTGGTGCCGTTAGTTGGCGCAAAAATACATCACAGGCGACATAAACTGCACAATTTCGGCCCAAAACAACGCTCCACACCCTCCTACACTCGTTTTTAGGTTGTTCTTTACCGCTACAGCTGGGACGCCCCAGGATAGACGCTGATTGGTCGATTTTGCCGTGACGTCATTAGCCCTAAATTTGAATTTGGAATTTCAAACGATTTTACGGGAATATACCCAAAACAGAAGACAACAGCGTATCAATATGCAGAAAATATTCAAATTTGCAATAATATGATAAGTTCTAACGCGTGGGGATTGTTTATAACGATAAAAAGGCGAGGGATTACCCAGACTTCCCGCCATGCAATGCGGCCAAGATGGCGGCGCCCATGGTAAATTTGTGAGAGGGAAAAGAAAACAATTTTAAAAGGTATTCTTTCCGTTTATCTGCCAATTTATCGTCGACTATTATGCGAACACTTCAACCGAGTAGTATGTTACAATATACCATCCGTTTCTGTTCCAAATACCACACACATCATGTAATGTGCAAGACTTTTGCTGTCTGTTAGCATGCCCCCCTCCCCTTTCAAGTTTCATCATAAAATTTTCTGTAGCCAATCAATAATTATATTATTTCTTCCACCAAGGACATTATATAGGGACATGCCTACAATGTCTGGCTTCCATACAATAATTATATTTCTTCCACCAAGGAGAATAGGGATGTCCCTATAATTGTGTTGCTTCCATGGGGTTTAATATAATTGATGCATCTGTACATGAATATCATAAAGTTATAAAAGATATATGTTGAACAAGGTCTATAAACAAGCTCCTTCGCCTGAACGGGGAGGGGGAGTATATTTACTAGACAGTATGTAGTACAAAGTACCAGTAGCATTTGTTATTCAATCAGTCCATCATCAACAAACATCCTATCATCATTATATCCCCCCAGCAGTGACCATGCTCCAGACGACCAAGTCAGCAGCGGAGGTGGCCTCCAGGCTGAGTGGAGTGTTTGCTGTGTACAAACCTCCGGGGCTCAGCAGTGACAAGATGATCAACACTATCAGGGAGAACCTGGGGAAAGGTAACATCTTCTGCTTCTTACTGACATACATGTGCTTATTTACCTCTAACAACTGCTCCAATGGGGAAGTATCATGGCAGGGCAGCTGCCAGTCCAGCACTTAACTTCTAAAGGCCTCTACTGTCAGTGCCTAAGTAACAGTCATGTAACAGCGCAACGGTGGTAATTTTCAATCAAGGAGGTGGATGTGATTTTGCAGTTTCCTTGTTGATTTGGTTGATGCACTGCATGAGGGGGAGAACTTTGGGCCTATAAGCTAAGTATTTATCTCTGTACTTGTACTAGTAAGTTGCAGTTTTGCAATAAACCACTAGAGAGCACTTTTGACACAACTAGTCACAACATCCAAGTGTAGAGTATAGTAGAGTAGAATGTATAGTGTAGATGACATGAGTGTCTAATCCTTCCCTGTTATTGTTTGAACAGAGATCACAGCGACGTTCCCCTGGGTGCCACACAGACATGACTACAGGCTACTCCCCTCTCCTGAGGACCCAAACCAGCTCACCAGGGTAGACGTCCCATCACTCTACAAACATCCACTAGGTCAGCAACTTACAAATTTTTTTACAGAAGCTTTAGAAGTCTTGTCATTGTATGAACATTACTGAATTTACTTCTGTACTTCTGTAAATCCAAACCAAAAACCCCTACCCCTCACCGTGCCGGAGCCCTCAACTTATTGAGGTTGTGCACGTACGGGAAAGAAGAAGACTTGTATAGATGTACTTAACCAGATTCATATTGGGTATGATTAATTTGCATTTGTGCTGTTGCAGTGAAAGGCCATGAGAAAGTACCAATGTTCAGTCAGTTCCCTCTGGACAGACTTTCCTCTGGTGTTGTAGGTGAGAACATCTTTATGTTACTTTAGTACTGAGGTCCAAGCTCTTGGATTTGCCAAGTGTGAGATTATTTCTAAGCTCTATAGCTACCTTAAAAAGTTTTCTCCTAATTCTAATGTGGAATGTTATACAGTGAACAAAACCAATGGATGCATTATTAAATGACTAAAGAAATGCTGCTCCTCCAGTTTTAGGAATCAGGGATGGTATAAAGAAGGTCCGTGCCATGTTCCATGCTCACTACTCCAGGGTAAGTCTCTTCTTTAATATCAAAGTGTTTCATTGGTGCAGGAAAAACTGACTGTCAACTACATGTACTTGTTAGTACACGTAGCTGAAGTTCATGAAATCATGATTTTCTTGGTGAAGGTAGAAATATGTTTGTGTAATTCCTGGCCACACTGCACACATTTACCAGTACCGAAGATGGTTCCAATACTTGGGATGTTTACATGTACAAGAAGAAGTGTAAGCACTACTGCACTGGGCAGTGTACTTGCTGTGTACTGACAGGATGTCTCTATATTTTCAGCAATACATAGTAGAGGGAAGGTTTGGCCTGGCTACAGACAACCATGATGTGTCAGGGAAGGTGGTGGAGAGGACAACATATGGTAGGTCTTTCTGTTCTCCTCTGTTGACCAAGTTTCTGTTGACCAAGGCTCTCAATTCCTCCATTTGAGGCTGAGCTCAATGTATTTGTTCCCACGTCATTGTCTGTGGTACTTCCCCTCTCTTTGTATGAGCTCAAACAGCACATATGTTAGAGCATTATCTGTTCTGAATAGATTTGATTATCAAGTCTTGTGGATGAAGCCTGTCACCCATGATATTAGTGTGATACTAATGTTCTGTGTATCATTCTCCAGATCACATCAGTGGTGAGAAACTGGCCAGAATTGTGTCCTTCTTACAGAGGAGCCACCAGAACCTCACCACAGAGTAAGCCTTCTGTTAGCCTTCTGTTTTACCCTGGTCTAACTCAAGATGGTCAAATTACTAGTAATGTTCAAACTGTCGAAGTTGTTGTTACAAGAATCTTAGTGCAAAGTTTCAACAAGCCCTACTTTTTTACTTGTATGTAAAAGTTGAATGTCTGGCTCATTTGTAGTACATTGTACATTACTATTCGCTCTGTTATCTCATTTTTCTTTCTCTCAGTTATAGCAGTATTTCTGACTTTAGAAGTGTTAATATAACATCAAGCAGTTAAGTGTTTCTTAATTTCAAGTGTCTTATTTTGTACCTGTATAGATATGCAGGAGTGGACATCCAGAGTCAGGAGGCGTATGAGTTAGTGTATGAGTGTTGTTTTGTTCCTGTATGTACAGATATGGAGGAGTAGACATCCAGAGTCAGGAGGCGTATGAGTTAGTGTATGAGTGTTGTTTTGTCCCTGTATGAACAGATATGCCGGAGTAGACATCCAGAGTCAGGAGGCGTATGAGTTAGCGTCCCAGGGTCTACTGCGACCTCGGATGACCTCCCCGCCCCTGGTGCTGGCCATGAGGTGTCTGGAGTACCGACCACCTGACTTCACTCTGGGTACGTACGCTGGAGTGTGCCACATGTTGTGTATTGATATGTATTATGTAAATACATTCAATGTTTTGAATTGTATATACATTGTATAAGGTCATGCAAAAGTTTTCTAGAGACCTAGGCACCGTGACCTAGGCTGGTTACCAAACCTGTGAAGAGACAAAAGAGCAGCCAAAGTAGGTTTGGTAACCAGGCTAAGAAATAACAACAATCATGCATGTTTTATAATAAGTTGTTCTAACATAAGGATACACTTCAAAGATATGAGCACTAGTACTGAACTGAAAGAAAACAAGGGCTGTTTTTATTTGCATGTGTTTGCCTTTGTGTGTGTGTGTGTGTGTGTACAGTGTCAAATTAACAGTGACTGTATAATATTATTTATGCCTAGATAAACAAGGGATCCTTATATATTTCCACACTTGAACTATTGTTCTGTATTTAATTCCCCCAGAGATCCAGTGTGTCCATGAGACCCAGCAGTGGTTGAGGAAGTTGATCCATGACGTGGGACTGGAGCTCAGGTCCACCGCTGTGTCCACGAAAGTCAGGCGAACTCGGGACGGATACTTCACCACAGAGGACGCACTTCTCATTAAACACTGCAGATATGAGTACATCACAGAAGCCATCGAGAGATCCAGACATTTGGTGTCATGGAAGAAACTGAAACCTGATGGAAACTTTGGTAGAAAGAACACTGAAAGTGAAAATGAGGAAGATAGATGACAAACAATGATACTGTAGATGTTGTTGCTAAGATACTAACCATAACCCATCAAGAGATCCAGACATCTAGTGTGGTGGAAGAAAATAAACCTGAGGACAACTTCACTAGGAAGAACAGTGAGACTGAAGATGGGGAAAACAGATGATAAACCATGTAGATGTTGTTGCTAAAAATGATGAAAAGGAAACAAGATGGGGCAAAAACAATATGCCTACATTTTTAAAATGATGTTGCTAGCAATACAATCAAATACAAACATCATAGAAACATCCTTAGGTACACATGTATCCCATTTTGATACATTGAACACAGGAAAAGCTACAACAGAGTGAGATTTAGGAGCTCTGTATTAGTTGTCACCTTCCCTTTTCCCCCCGTAATATTTGAATATGTACATGTATATATATAAAATGCTGTACAACATGAAAGCTGCAATTAACTATCTTAAAGGGATTTTGTGAGCCTTTTTATCATGTCCTTTCTGCATGTATCTCAAAGAAATTCTGGTACTAGTATTCAAAACAAAATCACTTTGACTGCGGATGTGATTCCTAACATTACCTTGGCCCGGCCCTATGTACACACAGTTTAATGAGTGCGTCTGCGGTAATGGGCAGGTGTGTTCAAACTGCACGGCTCATTTCCTTTGTTACTGTAAGTTTGCGCGGGACGCCGCACCACAATAGACGCTACTTGGAACAGCTCCTCAGCTCGACACCTAACAAAACACAAGAGCGATTAAGAAGCGTTGTTCCTACGGCTGTGAAGTACGTTAAGACTGTGTTACAAGGTTCATTAGTCATTTCAGTGTCGGGCGTTTTGGTTAATTTTAGTATCACTTTGTACCAACACAGCAGCCTTTTTATACACCATTGTAGCTACAGTCTACCCCCCACGATATGTAAATACATGTAGGTTAAAAGTGACAAGGAGGCCAGAGGAATTGTATTGTTGGGTTGTACGTATGTTGTTTGCTCTTCACAAAATTGATTTTAACGTCTATGTATAGCCTCTGCCTCGGCTAGAAAGAGTAGAAATTGGCCAGATAGATTGTTTGTTAACATGTCAAATCAGTTTGTCTGCTAAAGGAGTACAGTTTGCCGCTCCCGAAACTGTGCTCCTTTAGCGGACCAACTCCCCTGGGTTGTCATCTGTATTTCTACTCAAGCCGCTTCTGGATCCTTGTAGATCCCAGTCTATACTTTCAATCATACAAGAAAGCAAAACAGCATCTTAACTTGTTTTAGCCCTACGCCCTACACAAAGGGTCTGCTGACCAATGGTTTGTCCTGGGCTAAAGATAACCCAACTCGCCACGTTTAAATGATACTTTTTCACTCGAGTCGTCAATTAGGCTGGACTTAAAGTCAACAGAGACTCGCGACAAGCCGTGGAACGTTCCTGACGCGACCCCTGTCAGCGGTGAGAGACGCGGAGGTAACCTCAGGTCCGCTCCGTGTGCACATGTCTGCGGGCTGGCGGGCCGGTCAAACCTCAAGTACGGCGTACTTCGCCCTGACACAGCTAAACGGTGTTCATAATCATAGAGTAGAACGTGTGCACGTCTCCTTGCCTGAGTCTCGTCCGTTTCTTGGTGGGCCGGTTATTTCAGAAAGGTGAGTAAATTATGTTTTGTGTCTGTGTGTGTAATCATCTTAAGACTAGTACTTCGCCATGGCACAGCGGTGTTCATATCAATTAGAGTAGGACTTGAGCACTTCTAGCTCATTGCCCGAGTCTCGTCCGTTTCTCTGTTAGAGGGATTTTATTCCTACTTGGTGGGTCGGTTATTTCATAAAGGTGAGTAAAACATGTTCATGTGACTGTAATCATCTTATTAATTACGACCTGTACTTCGCCCTGCCACAGCGGTGTTCATATCATAGAGTAGGACTCAGTGAGCACTTACTTACCTGAGTCTCCGACTTTCTCTGTTAGAGGGATTATCTAGGTTAATTCAGAAGGGTGAGTAGAATATTCTATGCGTCTGTATTAATCATATCAGGCACGGTCACATTCGCCGCAGCTAGGACGTTTTTTTGTGGGTGGTAAAATTTTTTAGAGAGCCTGTGACTGAACCTGCCGTCGACAAGGACTTTGATATTTCAGCAAGGGCCCTTTCCCTGGTCGTCACAATATGGCTGAATATTGTAAGACAAGTTCCACGACTATCCGAATAATACTCTCAATTTTCTGCTACAAGCCTATCGTAAGACGAATATGCCCGCTCTCTATACTATGGTCTGTGGTCGTTATTCGGTTTAGCCAAGGACAATATGTATGTACTAAGTACTGTACATGTAGCGTCTTTGGTTTTACACCTGACTCTCCTAGTAATATCAAAATTGATTTAATGGCTGATGTGGATCGAAAGCAGGAAAATAGCGAATTCCCATTCCTTTAGTAGTTGTAGTCTTGCATATAACCGGCCCCGGCATTGAATGACTGTTTAACGGTTGTTTTCAGTATAGCCCTTGGATTACTATTGATGGCGGTCGCAAGATAAAAAGCTACATGAAAAAGCTCAACCATATATATATCTCCATTATTACAAATCAGCACGCAGGCTAGCTTTGGTATGAGGAAGGAAGTTTCATCAACCTGCCAGAGGGGGTATCGATATGGTTCCAGCTAGTCTGGGCGGGTGTGTGAGATTTCCCTGCCCTAATGCTCCTGTAAGAAGTGCCGTTTTTGTTCGCCCCACGCACCGCTTTGTTCCTGGGAGTGTAGAAACCGTTTTGTTCTCGGAAAAGCAAGGCTCGAGATCTATATCGTGTGATTGTAGCCAGTAAAGAACCTTTAAAAGCGCACAACAACGTAACAGATTAGCAGGTAGGGAGAACTAACATTCATTGTAGTACTTTTGTATCTCCTTTCAATTCTGAGTGACTCACCCGAACCACAGAATTAGAAGGAAAACTTATACCTCCATGCCGCACCTAACATATTGTTACATAGCGTCATTTAAAAAAAATATTTCTAGTGCGTCTTAAGCTTGCAATAAATTCGTTTCTGCAAAATTAATCATCCACAAATCTAGGCTAAAATTGGCATTACTTTACACGAGTTAGACTTTAGTTATACCTTTGTACAGTGTATAATACCACAGAACGTGGCGTTCTTTGGTAGCTAAGGTCCGGCCACGTGTGGGGGTACCCCTTAAGGACGACTATTGTTAAGGGTTTCTTACAATCGTGACCGAACATGGAAACTACAAAACCTGGCCGTTTTTTGTACACAAGCACATGTAATGCCGCCTCGAGACATTTTTGTGTTCCGTAGTAGAGCCTGGGAAACTGTTACCGGGAAAGATGGTTCCCAGGTCGTGCGGTAACCTAGCAACCGAGTTATGCCGCTCAGGTGTGTACTTTCATGTGCCGCCTCCCAAAACCTCCGAGATTGACCTTTTCATTCAGGACCTTATCATACTGTCATGTTAGATGTGTGTCGCTGGGGTAACAAACACTCACGGTCTGTATGTGTGTAAACATGATGATGTTTTAAGATTATATTTTATGGTAAGCGTGTATTAATTGTTGACTTGTTTACGTCGTTAGTTAACTTTTGTACATCGCAAGACTCTACAAGAAGTCTCTGCCGAGTAAATACATGCAGCCCGGAATTAGATATGTCAGAAGAGCTAATTGGCCAAAGTCAACCCCTGTTGTTTCCAGAACCGTGTTTTATCCAGAACTGTGCTTTATTCAGAGCCATGCTCAGGCACGGTCCTAAATAGTGGGCCTTATGCGCATCCAGAACCAATTAAATCTACGTTCTTGGATACACGGATACTACTAGTATCCAGAAGCGTGACTTATCCTAACCATAGTCTATACATGCATAGAACTAGATAGGCACGATTCTGGATACGATAGGTCCAGTAAGTCACAGGCGGAGTGTGTGTGAAGGCCGCTGGTTTTTACAGGACTCGCAAATGGCTTTTAGATAGGCGCTAACGACCGAGAGACGACGGAGTAATTACACAGTCCGGTCGTCATGTTTGGGAACTATTTGTCGCGCCCGGCTAGCTATGAAAACCTGTTTGAGACTTGTCAACTGTTTCATTCAGACGACAGGGAAGTGTTTTCAGACATCCACGCACTTGCCGCTGAATGAAGGCCCGTACAAACACGCGGATTCAGGGTCAGGTAGCGAAACGACTGGCCTGGTTCTGTCTGGTCTAAAGAACCAAGAGTTGCTTTCACTGTAGTAATTTGTTTGCTCTACAAAGATAACTGTAATTGTAGGTGAAGCGACTCAAAGGTGTGGCCGAACATTCGACAAAGTTGATGAATGAAAGAAATCGGAACTAGCAAAGTGAGCCTAAACGGAGACATCTTTCAATTTCAACTAAGTTGTGCAACAACAAACTTAATAAGAAGCATCAATAGCGTTGTGATATTTCTAACGATTATTGTCCTTCCTTCCTCCCACATCTTATATGCTATCATTGACAATATTTTTCTTTGATGACCTAATTCAAATCATGTAAATGAAACATAACCTCGACCTAGTGTCAGACCAACGTGGTTCTATTCAGCTCCATATCGTTGTTTGAACAGGTATTGTTACAGACAGGGTCTGTAGACAGGTACTGTTGATTGTAACTAAAAACAGAAACATCAAATAGACCTAACTGGAAGACAAACATTGAGGTGGTCTTGCCTCGGCGCCTATTTGACCTTGTTGTTTTTCTTCAACTACGTACTGTACTATGTACTGTTTTCTGATGTCAGTTGTGATCTAGGAAGTTAAGACTGCATTTTCTATAGGTACAAATATTTTGCTTACAATTGAACCTGCAGTGATGTTTTATGTAAGTCATAATTTTAGCAATGCTCTCTTTAGTACAATTTCATAATTTTTCTATCATCAATAATAACTTTTAGTATGTTTTAAGACATATGATATTGACACATGCATTCACTAATAGTTTTTAAAATCTTTTTGGCGTATATCAAAATCAAAGTGAATACAGTAGGTAGATTATTTAACGCCAGAATAGACAAAGTACGTTTTTAATGACTTTTCTCAATGTCAATGTCCTGTTGTCCGAATCAGCTGCCTGCGAATGACGGGCTACACCTGCTGCTACTGTCACCACGAGAGCCTCACTCTGGGGCAGGCCCTGGAGCATCATGGGACACACGCGCCGCCCGACCCGGACAAACCCAGCAGCTACAGCAGGTGTTTCATCTGTCTGGGCAGGATACAGTACAGGTGAGAGATTTCAGGTGTGTTACCTGTGTGTGATACACACCTGGTAGAACCCTTATCTGTACAGTACAGGTAAGAGGTGCGAGCAGATGTGTTGCCAGTGTGTGAAACACGTGAAAAGTTCCACCAGGTGTGTTATCTGTACAATACAATCTAGGTGAGTTACCTGCGTAGCTTCTACCAGGTTTGTTACCTGTGTGTGATTCAGTATAGGTGAGAGGTTCCGCCAGGTGTGTTACCTGTGTACAGTAAGTAAGTACGTATACAGCAACGTTACATCTCTGCATGGTACAGTAACGTAAGACCTTCCAACAGGTGGTTTGCCTTTGTGGGACACAGTGCTGTTTGGACGTCCCACCTGTTTTAGAAAATAAGTTTGTCCCTTTGCCTACTTTTAGCAGATGTTACACATGCCTATTCTTCTTTCATTCCAAAATAATTGCACCCATCTTATTTGTTTTCAAAAAAGATGCTTAATAACTTAGTTTCTCTTTCCCAGAAAACTACGGCGACACATCAGGAAGACACACCCGGACCACGTGCGGCCAGTTAGCGCCATGTGACAGCTCTGGGAACGGCTGGACTCTGGGTTTCATATTGTAGCCAAGGGGGGAGGAGGCTGTATCCAGAACCATGCATGCCTGGGGCAAATCTATGTTCTTGGATACATACAAAGACTATCCGGAAACCGTGCCTCGGATCCTAACCCTAACCCATTCAGGCATAGAACTAGGTAGGCGTGGTTCTGTAAACAATAAGTTATGAACCTATCGACGACGTAACAGCGCCACCAAGTACCTGAGATGCAGAATGTAATGTAACGACATTGGCGACTTCCTTTTTTACGCATTTCCAAACGACCACCTGCCATTGAATAGCGATTCATACTTCTAGTAATATTTCATAATCGTTTTCAATTTTCCTGTCTGTATATATAATTCGTTAGAATTTACATTTATTAGATAACGCATATAAAACGCTGTTGGGGAGATAATTGCTATGCAATACATGCGTATATATGCCTAAAATTAGTAAACGGCCTCCTGCTAAGTGATATACTAGTATGTGTAAGCAGGGCTCCGCCTGAGCTGAAAAATACCATGTACATATACATTAAAGCAGGTCACGGCGAATAAAGGTTGATTACGAACTAGTTTGGTGCCTTTGTTTCAGTGATTTAAAATCATTGATAGATATGTATTTAACGTATGTGACCAAGGAATGCACTAAAGCCATTAACGAAACTATCGCACGGCCAGGGGATTTCCGTCTTTCGTGTGGAATCGTGGGTAAGTTGTGACGTCAGGGGAATCCCCACTGTTTGTAGGTCTTTATTGAACTTTCACCTTTCCCGAGCAGCGAGTTGCGCATTAACTTAGCGTGCAATGATATGGGAAGGTTCTCGAAGGGTGGGGCCTTTCCAGACGGCTAGTTGGTAAAACACCTGCGTTCCTGACCGCAGACCTGCCCCAAATGAAGGTGAGGGCAGCTGTTACGCACCGTCAAGGGTAGACTCTGTATTCCAGCGTGACTTCAGATTTGAACAAGTAAGACTGATAGATGTTGTTGTACTCGTTCCATTTTGAGCAGTTGCTGTACCCATTACTTCCAGAAAATGAGGAATGCTAGATGGCCTGCAGAAGTATTGCCATGCCCACTGATATCGCTATTTCAATCTACTTTAATTTATGGTGCTATAGTGGTCTATGCTAACCTATCCCAAGTGTCACTTGCAATTGCAAGTTAGCCTCAGTTCATTCAACGGAGCTGAATGCATAATACATGTAGCTACGTGCCCCGTTTTAAGCTGCCTATGATTATGCACAGTGCCGTCGACGTCCCTGTGCGTAGCCATCTGTCTGCGCTGTAAACTGAACGAGGAAGTTGGTAATTCAGGGCGTGTCATTTGTTGGGAAGTCTTCCTTCCCTAGTAATGACACCATTTTCACTACTGAGCACATGATCTTGAACGACCCAAGAATGCGTGCCAGTAGTTCTCAGTGTTTTGATGCAACCTAGCCTTATTTCGAGCCAAAGCTTAGACCACGTACGAGGGCACTCCAAAATGGTACCACGTCAACGATATGTGTTTCTGGCTGAAAATATGGACTGTTATTTGAAGTACCTTCGTTTGCTGACCGAGTCTATGTTTGTATAAGATAAGCTGAGGTTGGCTGTTTACGTTACGCTCTGAAGAGGTCGATTTGCAAACAGGTATAAACAGACTGTCCTGGGTTACGTCACGGGTCATGGGGAACACAATGCTACAATAGCCCACATAGTTGCAAAACAAAACGTTCTACAGAATCAGAATCTATGATTTTTAACCTTTCCAGTTTTTGTCATAGCTGCACCTGAAGGTACAGCCCTGGATTGCCAGCATAAAAGAGATGGGTTCCTGTGACATGTGCTCTAGAAGCTTCGATAGAAGGTCCACCCTTCTGTCGCACAAGGAGGACAAGCACAGCCTTCTCTCGTTAGACACCTCTTGGACCTGTGATATTGGTCTTTGTAGGAGGTCTTTCGTAAGGGAGTCGTCTCTGTGGATTCACAAGGAAACCAATACGCATGGTACGTAGTCATTTGGAAGGGGCTGCCAGGTAAAGTATTAAAATAAAATCATTTAACAATGCTGCAGACATAGAATAAGGTGGATATCAACTCTAAGGATCCTGGTCTAAACAAAGTGATTCCCATTGGTATTATATGAAATGGAGGGAGACTCAGATCTATCACCATTTATTACGTTGGTGTTTTTCATGCTTCCACAAAACAGTGAAAAAGCCCAAGAAAGCCAAGAGAAAGCAAAAGAAGAAAAAAAGGATACACAAATGCGACGTCTGCTCCAAAGGTTTTCCCACGAAACGTGAGAGGAAGAAACACGTGAGAGCCAAGCACAGCAGCGGTGATAAAACGACGAGCTACGAGAGCGACAGCGATGATACAGATTCCGACTCATCCTCCGGTACATCCTTAAATGTTTTTTGAATTGACGAAAATATTGTATGATTCAGGGGCACAGATATATTTAATGACTTATAGAATGTATTGCACAACAATTGAGAGATGAGACAACATGATTACCAGGATCACTGGTGTCCTATATTAAAACTCTGTTGTATAAGTCATGCACATACATGTACCGATGAAATATTACACATTTGGATAAAAATGCATGAGTAAGAACCAGTTAAATGATGTTCAACATTATCTGCTATTTATTTCCCTCTTCCGAACCTACAGATATCGAGGACTTTCTGGAGAGCTGTAAACCCCCCGACGTCCACAGGTACATCTCACATCATTTGCAGCCGGACGAAGCGTACCGTGATGAGTGCAGCAGCGTGGTGGAGCATCTGGCCAACTTCTTCAAAACAAACTCGGGGTTCACCGTGAACAGGTTCATCAAGGTAATCTGTCTGTAATAAGATATTCAGTACCAGGCAGCAAAATCTGGCTATGCTGCAGGTGGCAAGGCAAAAGTCTGATTTTTATCATTTGGTTTCATAATGGTGCTAGATGTTTATTGCAAAGTAGTGAAAGTTTGCAAATTGGAAAGGAAAAATCCTTTATCCTGGTATAACCTTTGCAATTTTTAGATATACATGTATTTAAAAATCATTGACTGTTATGAAGTAGTACATTTATTTAAACATACGGCCCCATTCTCTTAGAGTATCATTTATAGAGTATTTGACTATCACAGAGTACTTTTAGTATTTGATTCGCGTATACAGTGTATATATACTTACAGGGCGGTTCTGTGGGGAAGGGCACAGCAATAAAGTCCAAGTCTGACGTCGATCTTGTGATGTTCATCTCTGAGCTGCCTCCCATCGGCAGCGATGACTACAGCATAAAGCTACAACAACAGTTAGATAAACTGGAGAGTACACTAGTAAAGTCAAAGCACAGGTGAACTACTTGAGAATGTTCAATGTCCAATGTTCGGATACCCACGTATTGACAACGGATGTAGCAGGCACCGCCTTTAAAATGGATCAAAGTTCTGAATGTTTTTAACAGAATATCATCAAATTTAAATAACTCTGATTGGGATCTCTACCGATTCTGAAAGATTGAAAAGTACAAAGTGATGGTATTGGACCTGGATTACATGACAATTCTAAGCATTTATTACATGTATCTTCAGCATTGCATACGACCTTGCGGTGGTGGGTCGCACGGGACATGCTGTTAAACTGAGGGTGCAGAGTAAGAAGGCAGACCGTGAACCACATTATGTCGACCTACTGCTGGCTAGCGACCTGATGGGACCTGTTCCTACCGACAGTGAGTATCAATGTGTGTCTTACTCCTTTTTAAATGAAGTTAAGAAGAAGTAAATAATAACTAAACTTTTTAACATCATCATATGGTAAGCACATCAACTTGATGACTTAATGCACAATTGAGATATATAACACACAATACGAGTAACTGTCCCATGCCGAAAATGCGTGTATTTTTTTGTGCCTCTTTAGCTAAGAAGAAAGAAGTGTACGGGAAGATGGGCAGTATGAATAAGCATGCCAGGGAGAACTGTTCAGCAGCGCTGGTGGAGCTGCAGCGGGACTTTGTGAAAAAGCAGCCTGCAGCAGTAAAGGATCTCATCCGGCTGGTCAAGATGTGGAAGTGAGTAGGATATCAACGAATCATTATATAACAGTGCTCCTCAGCGTGTTATGTTAATGCACTAATCTTTCAAAACTTGTTTGCCTTGTACCTATCCCTCGGCCAGAGTCTATGAATGATTATTCCTAATTCACAATGCCCAATACAGGATTAACAATGGCAAGGTGTACAAATTCTACTCAATTCTGATACATGAAATTTATTGACACTACAAAAGTCATTTTGACTAAGGTACCCTAATCGTTTCGAGAGTGACATTTTCTATTATCCTGGGAACAGGAAATCTCGTGCTCCGTGGAGCAAACTCAAGTCCTACTCCTTGGAACTGTTGTGCATCCACGTCGGTCTCTTCCCTGGGAATGTGGCCAGTGCATTCCAGTCAGTATTGAGGAAGCTCACTGACCACAAGAACATTAATGCCTGCTGGAGCTACAACTATCCCATAAGCGTGGTGCCCAAAAAACTTGTGAAGAAAAGGTTGGTCTTTCAAATCATATCTTTGTCGACAAAAAATAGCATTAATATAATTAAAAAATAACACCAAATATAGTCCTAATTAATTATATTTCAGTTCATACCATGGTATGGATGAAATATATTGTGTTCTCTGATGTTTCTTCTCCTCCTCCTTCTTCTCCTGCCACACAGTCAAAGGGATTCAACTCAGCCATCATTCGGCCAAATGACTTGAAATTCGGCATGGAGGTAGAGTGGGCCAATACCCCCAGGCATTTTTTCCATCTTTTTTATACATGCCTTTGAAAAATTTTTATGAAGGGACATTTTTCGCCAAAAAATGGATTTTCGGATCCTGAGCCCTGGTTTTACAACCAAATGATCTGAAATTCGGTATAAGGGTACCTTGAACATGTGTCTACAGAATAACAGTCACATATTTGGCATACACCACTTCCAAATGACTCATCTGGGGGACTTTAATGGCTATTTTCAGCAAAAAAGGGCCAAAAGTGCTATACCCGTTCCATGTTCTATCTAAAGAATGGCTGTTCCATCTGCCGTTGGCCATGGAACACGTGTTCCATTGCGGGTTACCTGAGGTCACAATTCACGTAAGTCATGCGTAATGACCCACACATTCAATTTTATGTGCCTAAGAGCTTCAAAATGTATCAAATCTCATCATTGTTAGTATTTGCAAACCTGTAATAAGATTAGTAAAGCTTTCGAGATTCAATGTGCTTGTTCTTGCATCTTTGTTCTCAATTACATAGCTCCTATATAATTCATTTATTTGAGAATCTTTGCCAGTTTTACACTGGGGTAAGTTTGGAATAGTCCACTTTTGCATGGGAGGGAGATGGACTGAAATATGCTGTATTTGCTCCTAAGCAAATGTCGGCCTCTCTAGTTCACTGTTCTTTTGTAACGATTTCGTATGTCTCGTATGATAGCTATAATAAGTATATTGACATTCATAGTCACATTTGTAGGTAAAGCTTAAGATGTCAGAAAAGCCTGAACCACGAAAAAAAATTCTGATGCATATCACACATATCGCATATCTCAATATATTGCAGGCCCCTAATCCTGGACCCCGCCAACCCCTACAACAACGTGGTTAAATGTTGTAAACTTGGGCACTGGCGTAGAGTGGCTAATGCTGCTAAAAAAACGCTGAAAAAAACCTTCTTTACGTAGATACATTTTTGTTGTCTGGCACATTTTGCACAGAAAGTTGACTAGGTGGTCTTGGATTTCTGATAAGCTGTTGTTTACCCTGGTTACCTATTAGATTTTTAGCTCACAGATATCTAAACGCATCAGGGTTTGATTACTGTAAGCACCTGTAAAAATCTGCATTATCATCTGATACAGGACTATTATATTCCATACCAGGATTTATATCAATAGAATTGAAAAGCAAATTTAAGTGGTACATGGTATATATAGGAAATGTAATGATGTCTAGACGTTAGAAATTCCTCTGATTATTGTAAAAGCTCATTCTTTTTCCATACTACAGACTGTTATAATTATGTTTATATATGTAGAATGTTATGCACATGTCCAGTAGATGCCATGCTTTGTACCTAGTACAATTGCTGTGCAATAAAGTTTATATGTAATTCCTCATATTACCATGTTCTTATAAGTATCATTTGAACTCATGATTAAGATGAATATGTATTTGTATTACAATTGAACTTAATAGCGGGCAGCGTCGTGCAATTGTCTGCGTCTCAGGCCGACCGTCACACTGAGTGGACCAACCCCCGTGACAACAACAGTGGCTCGACTCATGCTCAGGAAGGTGAACTGTTTTGAGTAACAATGTCATCCTGTTTGGTACACAACACAACACGACGAGATGACTTTGTTTTAGAGACGATACGCTATTCTGATAAATTAAAACAAGTAGCGCTCAGCAAATCATCTCAGTGTGATCTCCTGTTATGTGATGTGTATATACGCAGGGTTCCTTGATGAATATCATGTACGTATACATTACATTACAGTAAGTAGGTCATGGTGAATAAAATTGTTTGCGAACTTGGTTCCTTTGGTGGTTTCAATTATTTCGTAATGATTATAGTTGATAGCCATATATTAGGCATATGTGACCCAATACTGCAGAGACCTTTACGAAACTAACGCACGGCCGGCCCCCGGGGGATTTCCGTCTTTCCCTGACGCCACGTGGAATCATGGGTAACTCGGTAGCCAGGGTGATGACGTCACGGGGAATCCCCAGCGGCTACTGTATACCTGTAACCTTACCGGCGGGGCTTCCCGCATTTCCCGAGCGTTGTGCAATATTGCGCAACGATTCTGGAAGGTTCTCGAAGCCTGGCTATGGGGTGACGTATACCTGGGGCTTTCCAGACTGCCATACTCGGTATAAAAGCACCTGCGTTTCTTATTGTACATCAGGCTAGTACCTGCCACAGGCAAAGGCGTGGGTAGCTCAAGCGTTTCATCGAGGGCGTGTCCTGTATTAAGGGTGCTCTGAATTGCAGACTTCATATTTCGACAGGTAAGACAGCTAGGTTTTACCATATCCACTGCTATCGCTAGTTAATTCTTTTCTATACTGCTAATCTATGCTGATATGGTCATACCTTCAATTTCAAGTGTAGCCTCATTTTGTTCAGCGGAGCTGAGTACATTGTGCATAATATATAGTACGGTACGTTACTCTTTTATGCTACCTTTGCGCGCAATGCCTTGTGACTTCCCTGTGCACAGCCATGTCTGTGCTGTAAACTGAACAAGGGAGTTCGTAATTCAGAGTGTGTCATTTTGTTAGGGAAGTCCTGTTTCCCTAGTATTGATAAAAGTGCCGTCGTTACTAAGATAGCTAAAGAGCATGACCATAACTGATCCAAAAATACGTTTTCCGTTAGAAGGTATAATTATATGCGGCCAGCTACATGTAGGTGTTGTGACGAAACGTTATTTCGCGCCAAAGCTTAGCACCACGTACGAGGGTACTTCAAAAGAGTTTCGGTCCCGCCCATATGAGCTTCAGGGCAACGACGAGAAACCTTTGAAATTTATGGACAGTGATACTGGTACACTGGTATGTCCAATGATAACAGTTTCTGGGTGAAAATGTGTATTTGAAGTACCTTAGTTGGTCGACTGAGTCTATGTTTGTACCGTTGCGTCGGTGAAGGTTAGTCATCCAGGTAATAAGATACGCCAAAAACAGTTACTCAAGCAGGTTGGAAACGGTCAGTTGGCTGTTTACGTTGGGCGTTGAAGAGATCAGGTTGCATACAGGGTACAAACAACGCGTCCGGGGTTACTTCACGTCATTGTGAACACAATGCTGGAAATACCTCACATCGTTAAAATAAACGACCAAAATGCCTGTTACGAATACTGCTCATATTAGCTAGAAACATAAAAACAATGTGTCAATTCTAGATGTATCAAGAAACTATTCAAAACGAATAGAAGCCATGATAGCCGATGTCATCGATATCGGCGATTGTGTCATCGAGTAAGGAGCTATCTTTTTAATATCCATCTTAAAATTGGGATACAACTCTTTAATTCAAGGGTCCTGTCACTTGACCCATGCCTCTACGGTATATTTGTAACGCCATAAAGTGTCTGCAAGCATTTGTAGACATGTCATTGTTGTATATATATTCATTATCCATGTCTCCGTGGATCCAAAATAGGGAAGATGGGGAAGAAAAAGAATAGAGACGGTCCTCATAAATGTGGCATCTGCTCTGACGGCTTTTCCACGGAACGTGGGGTGCAGGACCACAGGAGAGACAAGCACGGCAGCAGTGGTGGTGGATATTACTATGCAGGTGGGTAATGTTTCTGTAGTAGGTTTGTAATCCTGGTTATCCAATAAGTCAAGATATTGCCTGAATGATTCAATAGTATTAGGCTGGTTCATAAACAAAGCTGTTTTGTGAAGATATTTTTATTTATTATTGATTTACAAGGCCCCAACAATTTCATTAGATGCATCATAAGCGTTTGCGCTGAAACAGTTGACCTACTCAGTTTGGCTAATTGGCTTGTTGATACGACATACATCTTTGACCGGCAATATCTATTATGATCTCCAATATATAGGCTCCTTTTGTAACCATCAAGACTAAATCACTGTCTATCAATGAGAAAAGAAAGAAAGCGTTACAGTGTCACATAGTTTCGTGATTTAGATAAAAAGGTAGAGGTTCTTGCACCATTTGAAGTCTATAACGTTTTATTTGTGTCCCGCTAGCGAATAACACTACTCATGGTGGTGGGTTAGTTAATAAATTGATTTTTTTCTTTTCAACTGAGCTATACAGACGACCATTTTTCGACAGAAAAATGTTGCAAATGTCAAAGAGAACTATTACCAAGAAAGAGAGTAAACAATAATCAAACTTAATCCACACTACATGTAGCCTCCTCTCCAGTGACGATCCCGGCCAACATGAACACCTTCCTGGACCGCTACCGTCCCAGTGATGTCCACGAATACATCTCCCAACACCTGCAGACGGACGAGTCTTACCGTAAAGAATGCAGCGACGTGGTGGATCGTGTGGCCACGTTCTTCATGGGAAGGCCTGACTTTACGCTCAACAGATTCATCAAGGTGGGAACAATGTTAAATAATGGCAATCATTAAGTTGTGCTTCCTTGATGCAACCTTGTAGGATGCAGTCCGTTACTTTGACAGATATTATAGATAAAGCCTATACATAGGCTACATGTGTAATATCTGTCAAAGTAAAAGACTGCATACATTAACAATTTATATGAAAATGAAATGTCATTCGGAACTCCTAAGAACGCTACAATCTCCAGGAAATGTATCAAAGAAGGCAGAAAAATGGAAACCCCACAGAACAGTTTATTTTCGGCATTTGTGAAAACCATAAGGATGGAATACATTACATTCTATGTACCATGTTTCTTACACATGAAGGGTGGATCGCTCGGCAAGGGAACCGCCATCAAGTCCAAGTCAGACATCGACTGTGTGATGTTCACCTCCGATCTGCCGTCCATCGACAGTGATGACTACGAGGATGATCTAGACACTCTCCTCGAATGGATGGAAGACCAACTGGAAAGCTCCAGGTTTGTTTCAACTATTCCTAATCTTAAAAATATTACAATATGTCAAACTTGACCTGACAGTATTCTGTAAAATCTAGCGGAAAAATGCTACCCATTCCAAAAATGTATATTTTTTTTCTCGGATAAAGAACATTCTATACCGAGTGCTGTACTTCATTGAATGCTAATGAAGTAGATTGAAATAGACTTGAACTTCAATTCCAGCATCCCTGTGGAGATATCTGGTCGCACCGGCTTCGCTGTGAAGCTGAGAGTGAAGACCCGGAAGGCCGGCCACGCGTCTCACGATGTGGACCTTCTTCTGGCACCGGATCTACTCGGAGAATACACAACTCCAAGTTTGTCTCTTTTCCTTCATTTCTCAAAATCATATCTGAGGAGCCCAAATATATATATATATATATACATACACACACACACACACACACACACACACACACACATATCTATCTATATATATATATATATATATATGTGTGTGTGTGTGTGTGTGTGTGTATATATATATCACATCGAAGCAAAATGCAACGAATAGGACAAAAAAGCCATCAAAATCAAATCATCTGGAAACGTTGCGTAAAGAATGCCAGCAGGACAATATTTAAAATCTTATTGAATGATTGCTTGGTTTGCAAGCTGACTATGCTACAGTACGTGACCAAAAGTTTCCGAAACTACACAAAAAACGATTCATCTAATTTACAGTTTGAAATTTTCCCACAGACGGGGTGTACGCCATGATGGGCAGGTTGAGGAGTAGTGAGAGGCAGTACTGTTCAGCAGCGCTGGTGGAGCTGCAGCGGGACTTTGTGAAAAATCAGGATCCACAAGTGAAGAATCTCATCCGGCTGGTCAAGATGTGGAAGTGAGTAAACTTCTCAGGAAAAACTAAAGGAAAATTTAAGTCACAGACAAGTTAGAATTGTAATTGTCGTATTTTGTACCAAGAGAGTCCTGCCAACATTGATTTATTTATCAAAGTAAAGTAGTAGGTTTTCTCTCAAATTAATAACTCTTCTTAACGCTTGAAACAAGGGCATCTTGCGTGACGGAATCCAGCCTCACGTCCTACCCTCTGGAGCTCCTCTGTATCCACACCTGGCCGTCTTACGGGACAGTGGCAGCTGCGTTCAAGGCCGTTCTGCAGAAGCTGAGTAACTTCGGCAGCATCTGTGCCTACTGGACAGAAAACTACTCCTACAGCCGAGCGCAACCAATGCTGGGAAAACGGTTTGTGTTCCTAACATGCCCTAACATGAATTCATCAGCGATAGTACAACCATTGTTTATTTTGATTGTGTGATGTAGTACAACCATTGTTAATTTTGATTACACATACATGGCTGTTATTGACATTTTGGGTCGAATTTATCCCATTCTTGTCACTAAGGAGATCATTGACAAGCACTAGTAAGTCATACTACTGTATGAACCGCAAGACTGAGAATTTCAGAGGATAATTTGAATGTTTTTATCTTTATGTTGCAGTCCCCTGATCCTGGACCCCGCCAACCCCTACAACAACGTGGCTGACCGCTGTAGGGACTGGCCGGCCGTGGCTCAGGCTGCACAGGAGACACTGAGGAAACCCTTCTTCTCTCTCTACTGAGGATCGTTATTGTTTGGTACACGTCACCGAGACCAGCAGCAGCTCTGCTTAATTGACAAGTAGCCAAGATAAACTGTTTTTAAAACGATACTAATTTGCAAGGGTTTCATAAATGTTTGCTCTTGTACCCTGCTTTAAATCAATAATATACTAGTACCTCAATGCCTTTCAGCGTCTGGGTATAGTCTAATTCATATTATCTTACCTAACTTACCTAACTTAACGGTTGAAGTGTTTGTCAGTGTGTAGTGAATCAATTGTGCATGATCAGATCGGGAAATTTAGGCAGATGTACTGTCAAGAAAGTTGATAAAGTGTCAGAAATTAAGCATTGTGATGCTAAAAGAAACCTGTAATTTTTGCCGAGAAGTCAGAAATTACACACTACATGTAATATTACCATATATCAAACAAAAACCTATGGCATATTATTGTAAGCCCTCTTGTTGCAATTAATCAATAATTTCTTTTTATGCCTGAAGTAAATTGATATTCATTTGGAAATCAGATAAGGAACAATAAATAAAGGTATTGTATGCTTTCCTGAACTTCAAAGCCGACTAATAAAAATATAACGTTCTCACCGTGAATGGCGTCTTTATTACGGATTTCTATCTCATGATCCTTACTCATCCGTAGGTATTTAGGGTGGAATTTGTATTACAATCCTACAAAGGTTTTGAGTTTGCAAGTAACCAATGTTTTAATTCATGTTACTACAGGCCACATACACTGTTGTTGGTTGTTTACCTTTTTACGTACATAATGGATCACGTTAAAAACCAGCCTTGTTTGACGTTATCATGTTGGTGATAGTCAACAATAATACGCAGTACCAGGCAAGGCAAAACTACTACATAGGCTGCCAGTCCTTTCAGTGAAATTCAGAACGACTGCGACACATGGATTACAAAACGTACGTAGAAAATGAACTTAAAGGGACACAAGAAGTTAAACAAATCTGTCATTATTTCATGGTATGTCTACAAAGTGCAGAACATTATGGTAAACCTCTTTGATGAAAAGCATCTTGGAGTCTTTTGTCCTCTTTATTCATGTGCGAGAAGTCGTTCTGTGGGCATTTGCTTTGCTATTAGCGTTAGCTCCCTTGCGGAGCGAATGTGAACTGCACCTGGGTCATTTACCTGTAACCTGAACCTTGACCCTTCACCTTAAGCAACAGGTGAACGTTAAGGCAGGTGTGCGCTCTTCTTAACGTTCTAGTCGCAAAATACCTTACCTTTAGAGGCTCCTGCTCACCCACTACCCCGCTATGATGCTTCAAGACCCAGTGTGAAGAACTATAAAAACTTGAAGGTGACATTTCATACGTTGAATCTACGTCTAAAGTGTACGTATACGTAGGGGGCATACTTGTACAGGTGAGTACAAAAGTAACGGTACTTTGTTTTTTAGTTTGGCGCTAGCTCGGAGAGATTTAGAATTAAGACAGACCCTGTTCAGAGATCAGTGACTTGATAGGTACAAGTTCATTTTGTACAGTGTTAACCTTGTCCCCATGTTTAGAGAGGGGGTGTTGTTTGGCTATAGTGCTGCAAAAATTAATCTTGCAGTTTTGTAGACTCAACGGTGTACTTCCGGGTGGGAGGGGGGTGGGCGTGCACGATGCATTTTGGTTGTTTTTTCTGGGACGTTTAAGCATAGACGATTGCAAATATGTAAGAAATAGATTAGCGAGGGAACGTTTAACCCTACCTAGACCGGGGGGGGGGGGGGCTAAAAGTGCCCGCGGCAACTTTGATGTCACCTAGCGTCTGAACGGCTAGCCGTAGAACGCCCAAACTTGGTGACTTTTCCTAAAATATTGTTGGCAACAATTCTCTATCATTGGAATAAGATAATAATTTTTTGTGTTGCCATGGCAACGGGTTTCTGACAGGCATTTTTTGCTAAATTTAGTACTTTTTGTTTCAACAATAGAATTATAAGGGTTTTATGTCAAGTTACTCATAGTTTCCAATATTAATAACATCCCATATAATTTTATGTAAATTTTATCATTAAATATGCATAATTTATGCTAATTTGATGACGTCATTGGCCAAAATCCAAGATGGCGGACCATATCATTAGAACAGGTATATACAGGGTATTTTCATTAAAATTTCATCAATACTTCCATTTCTTTTTCCAAAAAAGGTTTAAGTGAAGGTCTTTAGTATGTTTACGATGTATTTTAGGCTTTATCATGAAAAAAAACTATTTTTGAAAATTCAAGATTGATGATCCAAGATGGCGGATATCTTAAATATGCATGACGTCATTTTATGACGTCACCGGTGTTGCTATGGGCAACATAAGACTTAGTACACCATAATATTCTGCCATAAACACTTTTGGTACAGTTATGTTGAATACCATTTAGTTTTCAGGGAAAAACCTATTTAGACGGTTTTGGCCAATAAAATCACATTAATGACGTCATAATGACGTCATATTACATCATAACGACATAAAAATTGTAGATATGATAAATTTTAACTAGTACACCATTCTCTGAAAATTTGGTGGTCATACGACGTACCGTTCGCGAGTTCTTGGGGGGGGGTGGTCAAAAGAGCCCCCCCCGGTCCCCCAATGTCAAAAAAAGCCCGGTCTAGGTAGGGTTAATGCATCCTTCTTAAGTTCAGCACAGTTATAACTGAAACTGATAACATGGAACTGTTGATTTTAAGCGGTAAATGCAACAAGCCTTATATTCTATGGCGCCTACATAACCACCTACCTCACTATTCTCAAGTTACCTATGAAGCTACCCTTAGACTAATGTACGTATACGTCGATGAAGGTTAGACATCCAGGTAATACGATACGCCAAAAAGCAGTTACTCAAGCAACTGGATATGATTTTGAAAACGACAGACGTTTCAGCTAGTATCCACTAGCTTTCGTCAGTGACTGAGAGACCAGAGGGGAAAACAGGTTTATAAGCACAACCTATTGATTGATATGCAAATAAAGTGAAGACAAATTTTTTGGAAGTCGAAAAAGGAACAAAAGTCAGACAAGTCAAGACAAGATGATGCAAATTAGTCTGAAAGCTCCTGTTATACAGAACAGGAGCTTAAGTGTATACAAAGCAGGAGACATGTCGACCGCTCAAAGTAAGATACAAAGAACATTGCCGACCTAGTGCCAACGGCTACTCCTCAGCTATTTTCCACCACCTACAACACAACCAGGGTCACTCTTTCAAAATCGAGTCCACGGATATCTTAGACCGCGAAACACGCTGGTGGGAACGGGGTGTTAAAGAGGCAATATATAAAAGAATGTACAACCCCACCCTCAACAGGGAAGGGGGGCTACGGGTCGATCTTTCCGGCACTTGGGATTTGGCACTCCCATCCCCGAGAACAGACAACACTTAAGCTCCTGTTCTGTATAATAGGAGCTTTCAGACTAATTTGCATCATCTTGTCTTGACTTGTCTGACTTTTGTTCCTTTTTCGACTTCCAAAAAAATTGTCTTCACTTTATTTGCATATCAATCAATAGGTTGTGCTTATAAACCTGTTTTCCCCTCTGGTCTCTCAGTCACTGACGAAAGCTAGTGGATACTAGCTGAAACGTCTGACGTTTTCAAAATCATATCCAGTTGCTTGAGTAACTGCTTTTTGGCGTAATGTACGTATATGCAGCGGATCTATTTTAAGATAATGTGTAAATATTGCACGGAATATGTTAGCTGTGTTCATGTGGATATCGTGTACAGATCATATCTTTAATTGCAAAATTGTAGTTAACCAAGCGTAACTGTTTGTTTCGTCCTGTTAGGAACAGACGTCGTAACGTAAGCTGTAAAGCTTGACACGGCCCGGAGGCGACTGTAAAATGATGGTCACAGATCTGTGTAGCTGGTGGGAGGGCACTGCTGTTTCTTAAAACACAATGACGTAAATTCAGAGGAAATGGCTTCGTCACATCAAGGTAGGTATGGGCTTATACTAACATGCTAACTCAAAGTCAGAACATTTTCTAATGACAGCTGCCGTTCGGTAGCTATTATGTTATCAGTTTCAGCTATCTTCGGGATATTTTACGACAACTTGGCATTGTTACGTTTCATATGCAAAAATGTGCTCATTAATTTCTAATTCTTTCCTTCATCAGGCAAGACTGTCTTCGTCTGCCATGCCGGAGAAAGCAAGCCGTTTGTACGGCAACTCGTTGATCGTCTTGAGAACGATGGCCTGACAAAAGAGGAAATCTTTTTTGATGAGATGTCTTTAGATCCCGGTGATGAGTTAGATAGTATCATCAAAGTCATAGAGAGTCCTTCCCTGAAATTGTTTGTGTTTGTGGTCAGCAAGTATTGTTTTGACAACGAAAGAACATGGATCCGAGCAGAATGGGAGGCAGCTTTGACAAACAACAAACAGGTTTTCCCCATTTGGCTTGACGACAACAATGATGATTTCAAGGCATTTGGAAACCTCGTCAGGAAGTTTTCCTACAAGCTGAGGAAGCTGATTGCAGAGAGGGTGAACCCGCAAGAAACTGCGACCGCCCTGCCCAGCCTCTCTGGAAAGATCTGCTCACTTATCTGTGGTATGTATGTGTAGTGATATCTCCAATAACTTTGGAGGCTATGTACAACACTAAATTTACCATTTAGAAAAATGTTATTAAGATGTACGTAGGGTGCCATTTTGAAAAGGCCAAGCAAAGCTGATAGCAGACTATCTATCAGTGACGATCTGTGGACCAATATTAATATTTACCTCCATGAAAATGGAGGTATTGGTTTTGGCTCGTCTGTGTGTGTGTGTGTGTGTGTGTATGTGTGTTTGTGTTTCCGCACATTTGTACCTTCATAACTCCATAACGCATTTATAGATTGTGATGATATTTGGTATGTTGGTAGGTCTTAGGAGGACGAAGGTCAAGGTCAAATATGGGCCTCCTGGTGGATGGCCTTGGTACTGCAGCAGCACTTCCGGTTTAATGAGGAATCTCCTTTGCAGCCAACAGATGTGTCATTGTGTGGCTATCGAGTCAGTGCGCTTGGGACCCGGTTTGATTAATGGGGTTCCCTCAGGGGAATAGGTGACCTATTTCAGGGTTAGGGTTTGTATTAGCTGTGTGTTTGAAAAACTTAGTGTACTGTATACAAAAACTCATATATTTCATGGAGGCGTGTCTGTCTGTGTGTGTGTGTCTGTATGTGTGTGTGTCTGTGTGTTTGTGTTTCCGCACATTTGTAGTCAGCATAACTCCATAACGCCTTTATGGATTTCGATGATATTTGGTACGCTTGTAAGTCTTAGGAAGACAAAGGTCAAGGTCAAATATGGGCCTCCTGGTGGATGACCTTGGTACTGCAGCAGAACTTCCGGTTTTTGTATCTTTTGTCCTAAACATGCTATGGTCTTGACTTTTTGGTGACAGATAGCTTTTTTTGCGAAAACAGCTTTTTTTGTCAGGAATAAGTGGCGTGAGTTTGGTCCCCCTAGCAGCTTGTTTTGGAACTGCAGGAGATTTACGGGCGAAATCTTTAAAAGCCAATAAGTCCAGATAGGAACAAGGTATTATCCTTTTTGGTAGGTAGGTAGCTGAGAGAGAGATGTACATAATTAACTGCAAATTATGCAAATGATGACTTAATTTGCATAATTAATAAGGAAATTCTATAATTACAGTGTTTTACATTATAGTACTTTCATACATGTAATGTATGTAATCTATGGCAGATGGAACATCAACAGATACCAATTATGCAAATGATGACCTAATTTGCATAATTAATGCGAAAATTCTATGACTCCTTAGTGGTAAATGATGGGAATTTCATACTTGGTACATGTTTAAGTTAATCAAAAGTTAACATCACGATGCATTTATTATGTTAATGTGGAGGTAATTTACATAAATAAAGAAGAAATTTACATTTACATGTCAAGCCCATATTTCATGGAGGTATGAGATCTCGGAACTCTTGTTCCACATGTCATTGTTCCCAAGCAGGTGATGATGAGCCAGCCAAAAAGAGCCCGCCACCCTCACCTGATGATGCCGTGCAAACCTCACGACAAAACATTATGCCAGGTACGTTTGGGTCAAAGCAAAATTCTTTTCATAGAAAAGACCTCATCCAATTAATAAATATTACACTGACTCAAACTTGAATTATAATAAAAAATGAATGGAAATTTGAATTCAAAGATTTTGTAATTATGGTAAATCAACAAATAATTTTTCTGTTTCAGATGTCCTTCCTGCCAAGCTGAAGCTGGAGTTTGTCCAGAAATCATACAACCAGCTGCTGGACAAGGCAGATGCCCTTTTTGACAAAGAGATTTTCAAGGACGAAGAACGTTTTAAGAAAGCAGAGAAACTATTTGACAGGTATAAGACAACAATTGAGTCCATTATCAGGGGCTGCTTCATCTTCAACTTACGGTTCTTCCAGCCCTGTAACGTAGATGAGTTTTACCACGACCACTTCCGCCTGGGCCCAGCCAGCCTGTCCGCGGCCCTCACACGTCTCCTGGTCACCGACGAGATGCGTGCTGCTGCCGGTGGGGAGGAGTTGATGGTCCGGGTGGAGGTTCGGTATGACGACTACATCAGGGTCCGGAGGCAACTCTGCATGACAGGTATGTGTACCGTGTTCATATTTGTACCTACTTATGATAAACAATCGTAAGCTAGGTAAATCAAAGCTTGATATTCTTTCCTCAAAGTCATTATGTTTTAAGTCATCACAGTGAAAATACTAGATTCAATGATACGTTTTACTCTGGTTCATCCCCGACCTATTGGTACACCTAGAATTGCTGGAATCAATCTTATCCGTGTGTACTTGTCTTTTCTTTGGTCCTATAGAAATCTCAGCACCCTGTGCGATGGAGGGTATTGTGTGGACTTATTTATCACCATTGTGTTTAATTGTGCATATTTCCACAAAACAGGGAAGAGAAAGCCAAGGAATAGAGGTCCACATAAATGCGGCGTCTGCTTCGATGGCTTCTCCACGAAACAAGGGATGCGGCAACACAGGAGAGCCAAGCACGGCAGCAGTGTTCAAAGTTTCGGCGGATATTCTTTGTCGGAAACAAGATTGGGTGGATCTCGTTTTACAGGTGGGCATTGTTTTACGGTATAGATTTAGATCTAGACAGCCGCACCTTAACCTTGTTCTTCTTCCGTTTAAGCCCACATTCGTGTTGACGAATATTCTGGCTAAGATTTGTTATGGTCAGAATCAATGCTGTTTTAATTAAGAGAGTGATTTATAAGGCCGCAACAAATGCCGGAATGTCACCTATTATATTTGGACTTGTTTCATTTTGCATGTTCCCACACCACAGGTCGACATCGGTGTGACATCTGCTCAAAAGTCTTCTACACGAACCGTGAGATGGAGCAACACACGAGAGACAAGCATGGCAACACACGTTTTGAAGATCCTAGAAAAGGTGGGCAATGGCAGTTATATATTTAGAACATCACTGATATTTAAGACTGGGTAAAAATATTGCTCGAATCATTTGAAAATAAATTTGGTCATAATCAATGCTCTTTTAAGAGTGGCTTCTAAGATAAGATAGTGTAAACAGTCTTGAATTGGTTCATTTTGCTTGTTTCCACCGGACGATGAAGGGAGATGTTATGTAGGCGGATCACTGAGGCTGTCACCTGACTCAGACGACGAACCAGACACATCGGGGGTTCTGAACCTTGTACGCCAGGCTTCATGGAGAGGTGCAGGGCGTGAAATGAGGTAAATATTCGATCATGAGAGGGAGAAACGGGGGGGGGGGATGTTATAATAAAGAACTGGTAAACTGGTACATGGTCGTGACTGTTAAAAAACAAATGTAAATCATTTCAACCTCAAAAGAATTACCCACTCCGCTAAGTCTGTTAGTGTTACTTTATTAAGGTTTTTGTCGAGACACAAAACACACTCTAACTTAGCTGCGTCTACTCCCTTCCATGACTGACCAATCGCTAAGGCAATATGTCATCAACACTTGGTCATGAACTAGGAAGTTATACCACCCCGACTATGTAACAAGATTCATGACTATCAGAAAGTTTAATGTAATTTATAACCATCCTATTGGTCTAAGTTGCACCTATTACACCATAATACTACATTGCGTATTCAACTTATAGATATTCACTTTACAGGGAAAATCAACTCGAACTGTCTCTGCGCAACTACCAAAAAGAGCTTGCAGAACCAGCCATCCAGGGAAAGAACACAATCGTGTGCGCCCCGACTGGCAGTGGCAAAACGAATGTCGCCATGTACATTATCAAAGAGCACCTGGACGATCGACTATCCTTTCCAAGCGCCCAAAGGTTCGACATTGCAAAAGTCATAATCCTCACGCCAGAAATCACCATCTTGGAACAGCACTACAGTTCCTTCTGCAGGTACCTGCCGTTCTTCCGCATAGGCAAGCGCAGCGGGTCGTACGTGACGAAAAGGCCGTTTGAGGATGTCGTGGAGTCCAATGACATCACCGTGGCAACTCCAGAAATCCTGCTGAACGCGCTCCGTGAGAAGACTGTGAACATCACAGACTTTTCCCTCATCGTGTTCGACGAGTGCCACCACACTAGGAAGGATGTCCCCTACAACAAGATCATGGCGGAGTATCTGAAGATCAAGCTACACGACCTCCAGGCAAGCCTTCCTCAGATAGTTGGCCTATCCGCTATTCCATGCGCAGGAGGAAAGCCAGACCTTCCAGGTGCTGAAAAGCACCTGGAGGTCCTCATCGCCAGCTTGGATGCAGAGGTCTTGAAAACGGTAGAGGATCCAGAGAACATCAAAGAGCTGGAGGAGAAGGTGAACACGCCGAGCAAGCACACACTGGTAACCGGCTCCCGGCCAGACGACCCATTCAGGGACATAGTGGAGGGGATGATGAAAGCGATCGAGGATCAGCTGCCGCGGGACCTACAGCTACAGTACGGCGGACCCAGGGGCGTACAGGAGTACCAGTCTGCTGTGGACCTGGTGAAGAAGCTGGCCACAATGGGGTGGAACACGGATGTGGTACAGCAGTGTGACCATCTGCTGAATTACAACAAGGGTAAGTAAGAGTACCTTGTAATTAAGAAACCCCTGTCCATGAAAACCCCTTTCCTTGAAAACAGGTCTAAATTTGCCTTTGCCTTAACGTAATGGTATAGTCTTTAAACACGTGTAATAAACAAGTGCCGTTGGGTGAGAGGGTGTGTCCAATCGGAGTGTCAGATACAACTTAGGTGTAGACTCAGACGCTTATTGTTTCTTGATTTCAGCCTTACAGATGAACAACACAGCACGTATGAAGGATGCTATGAAGATTCTGACAGATTTCTATGATGAGCTGAAAGGGAGGCGCAGGATCTCAGCTGCGGAAAACCGGCTGCTGGATCTCTTCGAAGGTTAGTATTACCTTGGAAGAATTGTACTGGTAGTGAGAACATGGAAATACACAGAGTGACTACATCTGAGTTGATCACTGAAAAACGATTAGATTCCATTGGTCTTAAGGAACTGTAGTTTCACTACTACTTCCAATTATATGATGCATATCCTTTCTAGATGAAATGTTATTTGGGGGTGCTGAAATTAATTACTGTGTCCTTTTCTTTCTAACAGCAAAAAGAAGACAACTCCTTGCTATCAGTCAGATGGAGGAGACGTATCCCAACCCAAAACTGGTGGAACTGGAGAAGGAAATCCTGAATGCCAGAGAGGAGTTTGAGGATGAATTGAGAGGTATGTGGGACAAAATCAACATTGCATCATACACATATATAATGAAAGTAGGTTTAATGATGTTTGAAGTGACAGTTATTTTAAAAGCATATACTGATCTTTTCTCTAAAATCGTACACTATCTTATTTTCCTTTCACCTCAAGTTGAGCAGCTGAAGACTGAAAAATTTCCTCTCATCATTTACCCATGCCAGGTATTCTCTTCGTAAAGACCCGTGCCCTTACGCAGGCCATGACCAGCTGGGTGCAGGAGACGCCTGCACTCAGGTTCCTGAACCCAGGAGTCCTGACGGGATCGTCCGGAGAGGACGTCGGCCGACTGACACACGGCCAGCAGGTCGGCGTCATCAAGAAGTTCAACGATGGGGTCCACAAGCTGCTCATCACCACAAGTATAGGTAAGATGAAAACCTTTCGGAAAATTGTGTTCTCACCTTTTTAGTTGTTAACTGTACAAGTCTTAAATGTCTATAGAAATAAAAAAAAATATTATTTTACAAGACGTTTAAGATTTTGAACGGCTCTGAAATATTGGGTTGGCAGACTATTAATTTTGTGAAATGGATTGGCGTTCATTTATAACAGGAGTTTTTCCTAGTCGAGCACATCACTGATGCTTGTAGGTTTGAGACTGTTATTGACGTGCATGATAGTTCATATTACTAGTATTTGGCCCAATGTTTGCAGCTGAGGAAGGTCTAGACATCCGGGACTGCAACATGGTCATCAAGTACAACTATGCAACCAACGAGATCGCCATGGTCCAGGCACGCGGGCGCGCACGCGCAGCGGAGGGGAAGGAGCTTGTGATTGCTGACCTGCATATTGCTGAGAAAGACAGGTAAAACACGCTTGTGTATCAGCGTTTGTAACATGCTACGTGCTTTTAGGTGGGCCGGGTCATCCATCGTTTGATTTCTTACACAGAGAGGAGGACATTTTGTGATTTGAATTCTAATAGCACTATACAGGAGCAATTGCAACATTTAGACGCTAACTAATATAGCATCAAAAGAGGCACAAATGACCATCAACTTATCATTGTAAAGTTTGAAAAAATTTATCAGAGAAAGTTTGTCTAAAATGCTGCACGTATGAAACATCTCACCTACACGAGATTGTTCATTCTTAAGCTATGACCTGCGGCATGAGTATAAATTGAAAACAAATACATGTCAGTTCCATATGATAATCTGCCAAAATTTTTATTTAGGGTGAACGCCCTTACAGTGGAAGTTTCCGAGAAGGCCATCAGGAATATCCAACGTCAACTACACAGCGGCGACCTCCGGAAGAAAATCAGTCAACTGCAGCTAGACATGGTTAAAGATAGGGAAGAAAAGGGAAAGCAACAGGAGATTAAAAAGAGGATGTATAGTGCATCTGAAATAAAGCTTTGCTGCAAGGGGTGCCCTAAGGACGACATGATCTGTTACGGAAGCGAGTTGAGGTTGTTGGATCGTCACAACCATATCTACCCCTCCCGCCAATGGGATAAAGTAGAGTTCCTGGAGCACACTGACAAAAAGAAGCAAGATTTGGGGATCCGAAAAGTGTACTGCAAGAAATGCGGTTTCGACTTCGGCAACACCTACAAGGGGTATCCCTGTCTGAAAATCGCTAGCTTTAACATCGTCCTTCTCGGCGGGGATATGGTAACTGCGAAGAAGTGGAAAGACGTGCCGTTTGAATTGGAGAGTATGGCAGTCTAAACTTGTCATGGATGTTATGTACAGTGCATTTGTGATAGAACTGTTTTCTTCGCGAAGCAATGAATGGATTTATCTTTCCCGCCTACCAAATTAATTTCGCTCTATGTATTTGACCTCTTATGGAGACGTAGTCTCATCCAGTAATATATAGTATTTCAAAGAGTACCTTACGAATTCCTAGAATTGTGGTATAATATAAATGTACAGTTGTTTTACGACAAAGTTGCCTGTAAACGCGTAGAAGCGAGCTGATGGTATGTTGTTGCTAATAATGATATTATGTCAAGTCAAATACTGTATCTACTTTTGCTGTTTATTCACTTGGTTTGTACAGTTATGCAGTTGATAAATGCGTAGTACATTCTTATCAACTCAATCACAGAACAGAAACTGATCCAGTGAAATCCTCATTACTAGTACCAGTACTAAAACTGAATAAAATATTACTTTGCATACGTGTGTTGCCATTATTTTCGCAATGTTCCCTAAGTTTGTTGAAAGTGTTAGAGCGAAATGAGACAACGATGCACATTTTCAAGCAACTGTGAAATATGCATTGGCAGGAAATTTACGTTACATCAGACACCTAGCCTGATACATGTGTTTCGATTTTCCGTAATCCTGTTGCCACAAAATGTTCAACATGCAGATTTTCAATGGACTTGAAGCTCAACGATACATATGTGTACAAATGTATATATTGCTAGTTAGCACAGTAGACTTTTACCATATGTTATGATCATTGCTCCATTCGTCCAATGTAAACCAAACTGTCAATTGAAAGTAAAGTTTAAAAACGTTCGGAAATAGCAATGAGGTACAAATGTACATGTTAACGAGACTAAATAAAGCCAAAATAACACAAATCACGTCATCATTTGTTGTTAATGATTTTTCCTTTGAAGAGTGGAAGCTCGAAAATCTTCACATCACGTGAACTATGCAAGCTAAAGTTGCCATGGTGACGGTTGCCATAACGCTGACTGATGTGATGGCTCCGTCACTGCGGAATGACGTCACAGAGTTACAGCCGTCTCCCTGGCAACACTCCAGGCACCCTGAAACGTTCTGAAACAAACATAACGGATAACAAACGTTAATTTCTAGTACTGCCTGCATTTTTTAAAGACAAGTTATACCTTTCTGTATCTGTATCTGTACAGCCGGTATAACCGCCGTCGGCGTAGCACACCAGATTCGCAGTCACGCGGCGCGGCGGCAGCTACATTACACCGTACGACTTATGAAGCAATTCTTATTTTATGAGGCCATATTTTGCAGTTTTGCTTGTGTCTCAAACTCATTGGCCACATAAGATTTACAAAGTTAGTTTCGAAATTTCATGGGCAAGTTGTTGGAAATCCAAATAAGTTACTAGCGTATACAAACGAACGTTTTGTGTGCAAATAAATAACATACAACAATATATAAACATCAAGTCTAACAGTCAATAATTAACCTCTAAGCTGGCTTTGCAAGTGGTAGCTGCCGCCAGCATGCTCAGTCTCCCGCAGTTCTCTCTCAAACCGCAGGATTTGGTGATGGTCTTCAACTTTCCTGATTCTGCAAAATATACAAAACTCCAGCATCATTGCATTACCAAAATGTATCATGGACTTATTTAGTTGTATATTCGTTTGTTATCTAACCATAGTACACGATTTTCAGAGGACCATAAGGGTGAAAACAATCATACATGTACATTGACACTCTAACAGTAAGAAAAGGGAAACAAAATTGTAGCAAAATCTTAGCAAAAGCACACATTTTCACATTTTTCCGAGGGAAACATAAGGGCGATATCCTAATCTCCAAGCAGATCATACGGTGGCCAGACAATATTCATTAGCCAGGGGAGTTTGCACGGCCACCGAAGGTGGCTAATGGGCACTCTTCTGGCCAATGGATACTGTCTTGCCACCGAAAGGGATCTGCTTGGAGATTACGACATCCGGCTTACTCTTCACCCTGTAGTAAAAATGTACTCACTAGCAGACAGGGTGGTGCAGGTGTCCGCCTCGGCATTACTACACTGACTGGGCCCGCCGCTGTTACAGTTGGCGTCCGAGTCCTTCAACGAGCACTGGTAACACTTCAGAGCCGCGGCTGGGATAGAGAAAGGGAAACAGTTACTCTATGACCTCACATTTTTTGAGCGGAGGATGTACTGTTTGTTTCTGTCCGACATTTTGAGCTTTTGGATAGTTGACTGATACAAAGACTAGCAATCATCCTAATATAAAGCTCATGATCAACTACAATTATGTAGAGATTGTGACAACATGTCCTAGACAGGTACAAGTCTTGTTGTACAGTAGAGTGATAATAAAGCTTTAAAAAGATCGATGCCTACCTCATGACAAAAGTAAAGACCGAGGCCACGTCTATACATGAGTCAGGAGACAAATTATTGAGTCCAGAGCTAACAGATTCTTATTATTTATTGTTGGAATTAGAATGTATTGTTGGAAGGAAGGCGAAAAGTGAGTAGCAGAGACAACCAGTGACAGTCATGTGGCACACACACAACAACAATAACAACAATGTAAACAACAACGGTAAAACATTCATGGTACAATGAACAACAACACCAGGGCAAGCGTCAGTGACACGGAAGGCATTTCAGCTGCTGAATAATGTGATCGTGCGTGTGATAGGGATAATTATCAGTCTCGCCCATCGTCAAGTAGATCGGTGACCCAAGATAAGCTGAGGTGCGGGTGAACCCGCGACTCTCCTGACGTTGTTTTTCTTCCTGTGTTTCTGTGTTTAATGTTTTCTTTCCCATTACCTACGTCTACGTCATGAAACATGTAAGCCCAACAAACTAAGAAGAGGCCCTTGTCAAACAAGACAAGCATGCATTAAAGCTATACTGCAAGACATTCCAACTGGCAATGAAAAAACTCGTTACATGTGAGCAGAGCAGAGAGAGCTAACTTAAGACATTACATGCGTATACACATTTTTACAAATCGCCACAGAAGTTAGCTAAACAATTAACTACAAACTTGAGGATTACAAAAACCCGCTCTGAAAACAAACTTTCGTGCTACTTGCTGACATACCTTTTACCAGACCAACACGGTACGTATAGTATTCATCATTCCACTTTACCGACCAAGATAAACTTACCTCCAGCCAGCACAGCAGACACGGTTACAACAGCAAAGACGAACTTCATGGTGAGTTCGTAAGACTCCTGTGGTCCCAGAGATCGTCTTGACAAGTTCTTACACTTCTATTAGTATGTTAACTGACTGAGTAAAGTGTTGAACATTTACTTAGTAAACACTAGCGTAGGTCATGCTCAAATCAAGGCCCGGCGCTAGTGATAGATAATCTATAGGCGTTGTCCTTTACACTTCAGCGACTGCTCAGAATTGATCATTACAGCCGATTTCGGTGTTTGGAAAGGTCAGCCGTGTAGTATGTTGTACTACCGGTTACGGATCAAGAATAGTCGTTATTAACAACACACTCAAAACAACGCACTACTCCTCGGAGCTTTAGAAGACAAATAATCTCATCTGGTGAAACTTACCGTCTATTTGAATAAAGACAATGTATGAAAATCTTGTTTTTTTTTTATTGGGGAGTTTTTTTTAACACCTTCATCTTTCGCTTTAATCATAATCATTCAAAATAAGATTGTTTTGATGGATGTTAACACAATTGATGATGGATTGAATTATTGTTGAATGAGCTATTTACTAGACTATTATCAATTTCTACTCGATATTGCCTAATCATAAGCACATATTTATTTATTAAGTTCAGCTTAGTTTATTACAGTAAGGTACACGAAAAATGACATTTAGGAGCATTTAGGTTTCTTTTTGACCAATTTTACTAAGACATTAATGCTGTCCTGTCCTTTATGCATTTTCTTTTAATTAAGCGTGACAGCTAAGACAGTGGCCAGCAATAAGACTTTGCTCTCCGTCGTGGCCATTGCCGTGCTGTTACCGGTTGTCATGGCAGCACCGGTCGTCATAGCAACGTCCGCGACCTCGTTACAGCCGTCGCCTTGGCAACAGTGGATGTCCATGGTGAAGTTTTTCCCCAGCGCCAGTTGGAAGTAGGCCAGGTTGGTGCTGTTGTGGTAGAGCAGCTGCGCCGTCTGGCAGTTTGAGTAGGTAGTGCACTGCCTCCTCTGGAGCTTTATCGTGGTACCTGAAAGTTATATACAAAACATGCTATTCGTCGAATAGCATGTTTTGTGCATCCTCCCATGGCAGCGGCTCCGAGGGGTGGAGAAGGAACTCGGAGCCGCTGACCCTGCCATGGGAGGATGGTTTTGTGATGTATATTATTATAGATATATATATAGAAAACAGATCTAAATATACTTGAAATATGTGGTACGTCCAGAAAGAAGATATGAATAATGCAATTTAAATTGTATTGATATGCAACACAAAGTCATAAAAAAGATCAAAACTTGGCTTCGGACAATTATGATAATGATACACACAATGGCACAATGTTTGTTTATGTCTGCAGAAGAAAAGGACTTATTTTCGCTTCAGATTGAAATAAAATGCATCAGTCTTGGAGCATGTTTTTTTTCAAGTAATAGAATACAAAAGGCATACTTGATGCAGATTCAAACAATCCATACGGTAACCAAATAATTATCTTATCTACTAAAATAAGAGCAATGGCAATCTCCCAACATGTAACGTTACCGTTTTCCGTGAAGCGATGCTCAGTGGCCAGAATACAGCCGTCCTCCTCTTCCTCACACGTCTTCAGGAACATGACGTCACAGGTCGGAGGCAGGTCAAGGACCTCTCCATACTCTGAGTAGTCACCAGGAGGCGCTTCTTCGGTGAAGTCGGAACAGTGGTAACAGCTCAACGCGGATACTGAAACAGTGAAAGAAACAACATATTGATTGTGCTTACCGAAGGAAAACATATTGATTTTGCTCTGTTTCTTCTTCTCCAAACAAATAAGGTCAATGACCTGAACCAAACGTCTGTTACCATGGTAACTAGTGTAAGGTTACACCATGTTCCAATTTAATAGCAGGAGGGATTTAGACTCTTGTCTGACCATGTACATGAATGCGTTTAAGAATTAACAGAGCAGACCATATTCGAACGTAAACATTATGCATTTGCTTGCAAATGTTACCTTCCAAACAAGGGAGAGTGCTGAAGAAAAGCCATAGTCGTGTTGCGTGACTCTCCATATCAGCGACCTTGCAGCTGTGTTGTAGATGTGTCTACCAGGCACCAACGCGGTGGCATAACATATGATAGGAAGTACAGACATCGCGCGCGCTTATCGGTGTAGTAAACTTAGACAAGAAAACGGAAATGGCCGAAGATGTCATGGCGTATGTAACAAAGACGTCGCTAAACTTTATGGAAAACGGTACATGTGATATGAGTGTCCTACCTTGGCAAATTTACAGCGATAAAAGTACGACAAAATGTTCAATTGCAATTCGTCTTCGCGTCGTTTCCAAAATTAAAAGTTGGGTAACGTGCTATATATAACGCAAAAGCGCAACGTCAGTAGTTAAAAGTTCCAAGTCAAAAGGTGGAGAATGGCGCCCAAGCTATTCTTCTCTGTACAAGATTGCATTGGCGATTCAAGGAGAGAGACAGACAGACAGACAGACAGACAGACACAGAGAGAGAGGGGGGGGGGGGGAGAAAGAGCTAAAGGGAAGAGCCCTTACTTGACTTATAAAAGTTAGAAGGCTTCGAACGAGCTTACCTTCCGCCAGTCCAGAAGACGCCCAGAAGACCAGCCCCGCATAGAGAACGGGAAGACACAACATCGTCGGTAGCCACAAAAATTGAAAACTCACAACCACGAACCCCACTCTGTCTCCGGTCCTTGTGCACTGTTTAAGGACTTCCCGATTAAAGTCCTGATCGGCGGATTGATATCAGAGTTACGTGTGTGAAAAGGCATTACGAAGCTCTATCATGTTTTTGTAACTTTTGTAAATCAGAAGCGCTGATGTGATTGGTGAAGACTGTGTATTACTAATGCATAACCAGGTCGGCTAAATCAATGATACAATACACCATATTATATAGTGATGAACAGTATGAGAGTACCATCCACTTGTAATGGATCGTCAAAAACTATCATATTAACGAACCCGAAAAGACCTAAGACTCAGCAAAACTATACGCCATAAATGGTATAATGATGTTCTAACATGCAAAAAACAACTGTTGAAGATAACAGTATCTGCCTGACCTTCAAGGCTCCCCTACAGTGGCCTATCTTATCTTTAGTTGAAGGTGGGGGAGTATGGACTGAAGGGCTCCTGATATGGACTGACATGTGACCCGACGCACGTAACATCACTGCCTTAAGCAGCGAGAAGTTGAACATGTGCATAGTAGTTCACATTAGTCTGTATAGTTGAACTTCTAGTAAGATACGTGGAGAGAATGTTATGTGTTTGATCCTAATCCTAACGTAACCCAACCAGGCCTAGAACTAGATAAGTACCCTCGGTTCTGGATACAATATGCACGGCAGAGAACAATGCCTAGTTGACCTTTGAGTGACACCTGCGGCGTCACGTGGCACACCTGTGCAGGTGTCAGAGGTCACCGTGATAGCAGAAGCGCTGGTAGAACAGCTGTAGTCTCCACCAGACTAACTCCGCGGATTTACAAACAGTACGGCCAAATAGGTGATTATTAGGTGAATAACTGGGCAGGGGCGTCTGGTAACTGTGGAGTTCATATTCTCGCGCCTTAAGGGGGAAATTAACCTTCCCATCGGCTGAATCTCCTAGCCAATCATACTTACTTCCCCTTTTTGCCGAATACTACGAACTATATTCCCCTAAGAAGGCCTGGTGGAGGCTAGACCAGTTCGGGAAGCGTGCAGAGGTTACTAGCTTCTGGTGGCAAAACCTTCTCTGGCGGTATAACTTTCGTTCTCTCGCAAAACAACGCGTTTTATACCACAGCGCAATATCAAGACTCCCACCTGCTCGGAAGCCTGCACAGGAGGCTAGGAGGTTACCCGATGATGGCGGCATCGCTGGTAGAACAGCTGGGGTTACGTGCTGCCCTGCAGGACCCGGAGGAGACCGCTGCGATACGGGAGGCGGTGGAGACCACCGTGCAGGCCTTGGCACGCGGGGTCGCACAGAGAGATGCCAGGTGGGACACGCACGGTTCAGCCTTTGTAATGTTGCTAAAAGCGTGCAGAACCATGCTCATGAACGCAGACTATCCAGGTCGTTCTAAAGTTAAAAAATTCTGGTAAACATACTTTTGGCAAAGGTGAATCAAATCTATTATCGAAAATAGAGCCTTTGCAATACAGCTGTCCCACTATTTCTGAATAATGCAATCTACAAAGAAGAATATTTCTCCCGAAACAGGAAGTAACAGAACCCGGAAGTTAGCATACCACATACGAAACCGGAGCTAGGCTTCCTTAATCTCCCTTATTATGGCCACGCAATACAATCAGAAACAAGTATATCAATCACTATAAATCAATAAATCACTTCTTCATTACGATACGTTCTTTACCGTCGAAGTGAAGCCCACAAGTAGTCATTTTGAAACATTTTAAAGCCTATATCTTTATATACAATTACGTCCTAACCCGCACATTTAAAACGTTTTTTACAACATAAACCTGTCTAAAATCTCATATTATTGATACCTATTTTCTGCCTTTCTAAAAAGATTCGAATGTGAGGTGATCCCAAGCGGTAGCTTCTACGAAGGAACGAAGATCGTGAAAGCTGACGAGTTTGACTACATGCTGTGTCTAAAGACCCTGAGTGTCGGCACAACTTCCAACAGTGGTCAGCCTCAGCCGGGTACTGAAGATGTTGAGATGTACAGGACCAGCCGAGAAGCTACAGATCCATATGTTCATGTTAGGTTAGTCGAACTAAACTAAAAACTATGCAAATCAACAAATATAGTTACTTAGCTATCCCACATTTTAAACGGTTACTCAACAGCTACATGATGAACAACTGGAAATGGAGAGCAGTCATTGGAACCGAGGGAAGCTCGACCAAGTGAGTGAGTGTGAGTGGAACCAATTTGTTAAGGATCTAAATGATGGTCATTGAGCTATATATGTTCTCGATAACAAACTTATTTTACTGTAAATCGTATTATTTTCAAACATGTGTAAATTGCTTCATTACATATTAACGTTATATTTCTTTTAGATCTGCAGTGTCTTAATGTGTTAACAATTTAATGATTGCGGTGATGTTTCACAATTCAAATGCAAGCTATGGCGTATTTAGCAGTTGTAGTAGAGTATGCGTAGTAGCAGTAGTAGTAGAAGTAGTAGTTGTACTAGTAGTAGTAGTAGTCGTAGTAATAGTAGTAGTAGTACTAGTGGTAGTAGTAGTAGTGGTAGTAGTAGTAGTAGCAGCAGCAGTAGTAGCTGTACTAGTAGTAGTTGAACTAGTAGTTGTAGTAGGCATATTTCCATCTCAAAACCATTTATTCATCCCCAAGGTTGGTGAAGCCAGAACTTCAGGAGATGTGGCAGGACTGTCTCGTAGACAAGCCCATGGCAGCCGAGATTTCTAAGAAGCTATTCGGAGAAGACATCGGGATAGCGCTGCTCAACGGGGGCGAGCTGAAGGCGGCCTTCTACCATCATGTCAAGACGGTCTTACCAGAGGTTTTTGTTTATTTATCTATTTATCTATTTGTTCGGACGAAGACACAAAATACAAAGTGGGGTGAATTAAATAAAACAAAAACCGCAAGATAAGGGAGGAAGCCTATTAAGTAACAAACAATTAGGAACAAAATTATAGCAAGCGAAACTATCTAATAGTGAAGATAAGTAACACTGTGGCAACTAAAATAACATAGATAAGACTATCTAATAGATAATTAAGCTGGTTGAATGTTGGGTGGTTTATAAGGTGACGTTTTAAAGTGCTCATAAAGTTCAAGAAAGATGAATTAGTTTGTAAACTTTAAGTGTTCCAGGTATTGGAGAACCTAGACCATGGTGAACATTCTTTGTTGGTTTTTGGTGTGCATTACTGCCAAATCGTTACAGGTTATACACAAGAGGCTGAGGTGGTCCACTTCAAGTCTGATGATACTGGAACGAATCTTAGGGCAGGAGGGAGGGGAGGTGCGAGGGGTACCGGAGCAAGTGGATTTCGTCTGGGATGGCGACACGACCAAACGCATCTCTGTAGACGTCTGCCTGACGCTTCACGTCAACCGAAGGAGCCGTTTGTCTGATGTGGATCGCCGGTATGGTCCCTCCAGTCCGCACAAGGAAATCATCGAGGAGGCGGTAGGGTTAGGCTTTCACGTGGTCCCGAAATTCCACTTATTCTGGCGTCTGTCTTGGTCCAGGGCAGAAGCAAGCGTGCTCGCTAACGTCTTTAAGAAGGCGCCCTCTGCAAGGCAGGTCTACAAAGTAGCCAAGTTCATCAACGAAAACCACTTCCTTGACCACTACAACGTGCCGAGTAAGATCAGCGACAGTTACGCACTGAAGACCGCCCTAATGCACACATGGTTCGGTACAGAAGAAGAAGAATGGGCAGATGTTGGGTCGGCTTTTATCCTGTATCTTCAGAAGCTTCACGGCTGCATCAAAGAAGGGAACCTGCCGCACTTCTTCGTGACGACCCACAACTTGTCACCGCTGACAAACTGGTCTGTCAGCAAGGCAGCCGCACTGAGAGAGTGCATCAACCAGATCAAGGCAGGAACAGACGTGGACACTTTTCTGAAAAGTCCCATCGTCATAGAGCCAACAGAGGAACAGAGAGCGAGTATGAAGTCGCTACGAGACCGCAAAATAAGAGTGGTTACACCTGGGGTGCTGAAACCGCCGGAATCTCTCAAGATGGAAAACATCCTCAGGGAACTTCAGAAGGCGGAAATGGAGGGAAACAGAAAGGAGGAAGGAGCAGTCGGAGGCCAGCAGGAAGATAATCCCATGGGTGGGCGTGAGGAAGATGCAGAGTCAATCTTGGATGGTGTTGCGAAGACAATCAAAACATTGAGAGATGAAGAACGTAGTAAAGGAAACCTGTAATCTAATGGAAACAAGGAAATAATCTGCACATTAAGAACCCAATTCACTTGGTTGCAATCCACCCTAGTGCATCCTTTATTTACTTACATATCTTTTGGACAGAATATAAAACAGAACACAGCTCAATTAGATGTACAAAGACACATGGAAATCAGGATCTCTGACAACTTTTTGATGTGACTAACTACACAAATGTACATGCATTATATGCTACAATATGAATAACAACACCACTTTTCATTGAAAAAAGCACAGCATTTTAAACTTTACATGTATACAAAATGTACATCTATCAGAAGCTTTATAGTCAGAATTTCACAAACATCCTTAAACTGTAGGACTAGGACATCTGAAACACTACTCATATAAATTGCTTATCAGCAAAACAAAGCATGCATTTCAACACCCTGAGCAACAATAGAAATACATTTAAAGACACAAATATATGACACAGGCATTTTTTCACTTACTGGCAGTAGGCTACTGCATATTGAAAAACATGCCAAGTATGCATATATACAACAAGGCTTAACTATTGCACAAATACATGTACACTAGAGTCAATATCATATTCTCAGCACACTGACAACAGTGATGAAAAATACACCAAACGCTGCCACACAATACATGGTGAAGTGCCACTTGGGTTTGGTGACTTCCTCTTCGTAGGCTGACTCCACAGGAAACTGGTCAGCATAAGTCAGCTTCCTCCTGTTCCTACGTTTACTGCCTGGACAGGAACTGCCACTGGAAGGGGAAAGAGAACTGTTGCATTTCGTTCAAAAATAATTAGATAACTATTAAAAGCAAAAACTGAAAAATAAATAAATGTTGGTGTTGGCATCACCAATTCTATCAAAACTGTCTGGGCTTTTAGTTACAGATATTTTCCTACACTTGAAACTATGTGCCCATACACATGTCCCATCAGATAAATATCTTAACTATAACTCATGATTGACTGTGTCCATGTATGTTCTGCTCACAGTCACATGCTCAAACCTACCTGCAAGACTGAAGTGTGTCGTTAGCTGTGGCATGACTGTTTCCATTTATGTCCTGTGACATGCTGAAACCTACCTGCATAGTGGTGTGTCATTATGCTGTAGCATGTCACCGTTTCAATGTATGTTCTGCCGACATGCTCAAACCTACCTGCTTGACTGCGATTTGTTGTTACTCTGTAGCATGACAGTTTCTGTGTGTTCTGCCCATATGTTCAAACCTACCTGCACGTCTGCGGCGTGTCGTTACGCTGTAGCGTGACCGTCTCCGTGGTGATTTCCACATTCCGCACGCTGCCGAAGAAGTCGGTGATGAGGACAGAGCCGGGGTCACGGGTGAACAGGTCGGTCCTCACGCCAGGGGTCGACACGCACACACGCTTCGGACACACACGGAACTGGGAACAAATGTCACCATAGCAGCAGGTTGTTTTGTTTGTTTCTTTGCATAACTAGTAACCAAACTTTAGGTATAACACAACAGTTTTGAGCAGTAAGTACAAGCCATGTAAAACCAGATTGTAGGGCTTGAACCACTCACTCTGAGAAGGACCCCTACTCTTTTCGTTAAGTGTGGTGGGATATTTACATGTTCATGGCATCTGTGAGTATGTCCCTATCCAAAGCTAGGTGTAGTACTCATTTTTATCCGAGTTGAGTGAGGAGATCGGTGCCTTTCCCCAAAGATACAACAGAGATTTGAACGACACTGGGAACATAATGTAGATGGCAGGAAAGTGTGGACTATGTCCTTACCAGGTCAGCGAGAGTTTTCTTGCTGTCAGGTCTGACAGTTTAGGAACGCAATGAAGATGATATGAAAGTGTGGACTATGTCCTTACCAGGTCAGCGAGAGTTTTCTTGCTGTCAGGCCTGACTGTCTCCAGGAACTCCAGCAGATAGTAGGTGTACCGGTCGATAATGTACACACCGATGGAAGGGTCCACGTGGTGCTGGGGGTGTGTACATGTGAAGAAGTGTGAGGGACAAACCAGAAGAAATTTTGAAGGTTGAATATGAAGGTGAACAATGATTCAAGCTGCAACATTTTCGTTTCAGCTCATTTCCTTGATAAGTCTTTTTTATTACACTGCCAGCACAAATTCATTCGGTATTGCTGTTTCTTTTAACTTTAAGTTAGCTCAGGTTGCATCATGTTTGCGTGTCAATCCCAGAGAGACAATCTAGTGGGGTGGGACGAGTGTAGCTGAAATATTTGTTGGAGCAAAGATGGGGAACAACATGTTAATACCATTTCCTGCAATGTACTTCTATGCATCTCTCTGATGGTAAACATAGTAAAAATACTAGTAATACATGTACATGGTGGAGTGTCTGAGGAAAGAAAGACTTACCGACAGGGAGTCCTCTCCTACTTGAGCACTGCCGATGCCGATGACATTAGGTGAGTAGAACTTGTGGTACATGGACACAGCCTGACAGGTGTCAATCATGAACAGTAGCTCATGATATCTGGGGGGGGGGTGTGGAAAAGCAGAAAGTGTTATTTTGCAAATTATTATACTCTAACAGTCTTTATTTAGTCTAACCCCATCCTGGGTGTAAGAAGATATTCATAGACGATTCTGTATTTATGTGATCAACTGACTTAAAACCCTATGGCATAACAGACTGATACAGCATAGAATTCAGAAACTATTCACAAATATTTTCACAATAATACAAGGAAAAGTGAATCTAAGTACTGACGCAAAGGTATTGTAGAATTTCGGTCAACAATGTATACATTCTGCATGTGTAATAGTCATTGAAAATGACAAAAACAGGTATACAATCCATATAGAATTTTTCTAACATTGTTAATATCAGTCAATGAGACATTCCTCTGTACCTGTTTTTCTGCCACATCTGCTGGAAGGCGTCGGCCAGCTCCACGTTAGAGATCTCCTCAGCATCCTGGAACTTCAGGAAACCTTCTCCTCCATGGCCTGGGAAAAACATTGAAGTTTGAACATCAACATCAAAGGACTGCTTATATAGTACAAGTGTTAATGGTAAATAAAGGCTAAGGAAACCCTCTCCTCCATGGCCTGGGAAAAACATTGAAGTTTGAACATCAACATCAAAGGACTGCTTATATAGTACAAGTGTTAATGGTAAATAAAGGCTAAGGAAACCCTCTCCTCCATGGCCTGGGAAAAACAGCAGGAGGAGAACAATTAGCATGAACAACTAGTACTGCTTATGTATCATAAGTGTCATGATAACAGTTTAGACAGAAGGGCTATACTGACGGATAAAACTTTGTTGTAAGGCCTAATCAAATGTTTTAAGCCTCATACAGGCTTTCTTGTAACATACATGTAGTATTGTATATATTGAAAAAGTATATACGTATTGAATTTCTTGATTTTGGATATGCAAGCCAGTGTACAACACATGAGATTCATAATCTACAACTTTTACAAAACATTACTTTTTTGGTTACAAATACTGCAATGTGATAAAATTTATAAGAATATCAATTAAAGACAACAGAAGTCTGCTACAGAAGACAGTACAGTTCTCACCTGTCATGTAGACCAGGACGTTACTCCTGTCATCGGTCAGCAGGCGTTTAGAGCGGGGGGTGCTGGGGGGCAGGCGGCCAGTCAACACACGGATGAAGTTCTCTACTGTTACCTGGTATTGAGAAAACACAACAGTTGGTAAACAACACTACAAGATAGCACTTAGTGTGAGATGAGAGCACAGGCTCCAACAGCCAATGCAGCTGGTCCCTTTTGGTAGATACAAATATTATTAATATTTTTCCTACAAAATTGTCAAAACTAAATCACAAGGACACAATCAATCTACAAGAACTACACCAGGACAGAATGGACATCCAAAGCTCAAGATTTTTCATTCCAGAGATCCCTGGCCTATCTGCATGGAAAATAAACTTTCTTTTATTGTACCAACACTCCAACGTACCTCATACCCCCTGTAGTCCACTTCCACATCATCTCCATACACGTTGATGTGCTGGTTCGCATTGTTGAACACTGTAGCTGTAAAGCACACCGTACACAGGTTACAACAATAGTGATCAACACCACAACATGAAGGCTGGTGCCTGTTGCACATTTATACAAGCTATACAGATACTAGTGGTACAGAAGCTGGCGTGTTATGCTGAAGGGCGGTTATAGTATGGCTTCACAGATACAGAACATACAGGGATAAGGATCAAAGACCTGTACATGTTCTTATGACACAAGAAGGATGAAAGTAGTGCTAAAATCTTACCAGGTCGTGGGTTCCGAGGATTACAGGCCATGTCATCTGCCAGCATCAAGATGATCTGACTGTGAAATAAAATACATGGTAAGTAAGATTGTTACAGTATCTATCTCTTGTCTGTATGTTGCTTCACCAAACTACTCAAACCTAACCATTGGTTACACTGGTCACAGTCAAAAATGCTTTATCAATTCAATTGCTTTTAGTGTTTTTTGTTTTCTAATTTGTCCTGGTGTCTTTAATAAGTACCTGTCAGGAATGCCCAGTCTCTTGACACTGCGGTACACAGACAGAGTGTTGGCGATGTGGCGATAGTTGAACCAGAATCTGGAGGTGCAAACCTGGGAGGGAATACACATATCTTACAGAACAACACTGCAAATTTTCCAAATTGCATATGGCAGCATTGAATGAACAATGACTTTAGGTTGTATTATTCATTCATGCGTCGATGAAGGTTAGACATTCAGGTAATACGGTGTGTATGGCTGAGGAATGTGAGGATAAAACATAATTCTGGAATCTGAATACTACACCTGGCTCCTATACCTGCTCCCTAATTTTTTTTCATGGGAGTGATTATGGGAGTCCTAGAATAAAGAGAAGATATGGCACCCAGGTTATATCAATACATGTTTCCTGGGGGAACCTAATTAAGGGAGAAGACTCACCAAGACAGCCCAGTTATTTGTGTGGCCGCTCTTGAAGAAGCCCCCAACCTGGTCCTGTGTAGAGAAATATGAAAATATTGAAAAATCATGCAGGAAAACACTATATAAGCAGCACAACATAATAATGTCTCATATAATTTTAAGATACATGTAACATGTAGAAATAGTCATTGCATCTATTTTTTGTACATAATGAAACTACGTGTGATAAAGAGAAGTATAACTACAGTATCTATAGTTCTTGTGCAGTATATTTAGGTGAATGAATAGGACAACAAAAGACAGGAAAATTCGAGGCTATTGTTTTGATCGGTGCCAGTGCCCCCCTCCCCACACTAACTCCATACAAATGTCTACTCTGTGACGGTATCAAGCATGGAATGTTAGTACTACTGTGGACTGTAGCTTCAGAAAATAGTACAGAACGCGGGACATACCTCTACATTGCTTACAGCAGCGACAGACACGAACAAAAACCCCAGAAACGCCAGACCCGCCCAGTTTCGGGTACTGTGGGCCGCCATCTTGTACAGGTGTTTACCCAGCAGCCACCGCGCGGGGCAGGGGGCACCGTCTGGGGATGACACCTGTTCGATCGTGGGAAAGAAACTTCAGGAAATACGAAACTGAGAAAAAAAAACAGATAATAGTAAGAAAGGAAATGTTGTTGGCTTAAACATACTTGTTGGTCTTAAAAATTGAAAGCAAGGGCAATTTAAATTGCTGACATATGTACATGTAGATATTACAATAGCTGAATGTAAATTATGTCTATTTTAAGAGAGAAGAGATCCTGTAGTTAGATCCTGTAGATAGAGACGTAGCACACAAATATAACAATTGCTTCTTCTATTCTTGTACCCAAGTTATCCAACTTAGTGCATTTGGCCCGTGTAGGGCGTGAATATGCAATAAAGTTCATTGTCATTGTCATTATCTGTAACAGACATGTTGCATAGATAATTTGTATGGTACTGCAATTTTCGCATTGTCCAATTTAACATGTTCTGAATTACGTTCCGCTTATGAGGTGCCTGCTTAGATTTCGCTGGGAATTTGATCGTTCTCTGCCATTTCTGGACTTTTTGACGTCACTTCCTTTCGGAGTGCCGCATATACGTAAGGGATTTTCTCCGTCAGTCCGCCTGCTGGAGGAATGGGTAGTATGGCGATCAGCAGAATCCTGCTTCTTCTTGTCATCTGCAAGGTTTGTCCTGGTACGTAATAAAACACGGACTATGAGGTTTCGGCAAGAAATCATTTTCTTGCAACTCCATAATAAGCATAGCCTTTGCCGTACAAGCTTAAAGTATTTTTTTCTTTATTCTGTTTTTTTTTAACCAGGGTGACCCTCTTACTGGTTACAGCGGGGCCCTGGACAAAGTAGTGGCTGTATTTACTTTTCATTATACCAGGAATTGTGACAAAGTTTAACATTGTCCGTGTCGATCAGTTTCATTCGCTAAAATCACTGCCAGTATGTTTTGTGATGATTTACCTTTGTTGTTTCTATGATGTATGTTCCAGTTTGTTGTGTTTGTAAACTCTTATTGTTCCTTTACATATACGATTCATTCGTACTGCGTTATATACCCACAGCTTCTTCGTGTCAACAGACACGCGTTTAGTTCTGGTTCTCACTAGTTTATATGGTGTTAAGTCCGTCTCTGTTGATACGCGATATGCTAGTAACGGATTGGTCACGGCGATCAGTTGCCATGACGACGCCCGAACACTTTTCGGTTGTCAAACGAAACACCTGTTTCACACTGATATCAAGGCCCAACCAAAGAAAAGCTTGCTGTAACTCTGTTTCTAAATAAAGTCAAATGGAATTACATTTTTAGAAGCGCGCAACCTTTCTTTATCAACAAATACGTATATATTTTGCTTGTGCTCTATCTTACCATATGCCTCCTAAATAACGCGAATCTACCCAAAAAGTGAGTTATACATGTAGTAAAACGATACGTATTAAGAATATACACCGTGAGATAGTGCTCATTGGTGATTTCGTTTTCATTTTTTTGTGTTTTGTTGTCTTTTATATCATACTTTTCGCCCCGGAAATGGTGACCTTTATAGTATAAAGAGTTAGTGTATGTTTTTCTGTAGCTCTGGCCATCAGATGTCTACAGTGCGCAGTCGCACCGACCATCACCCCACGCCCTGCCCACGCGCCTGCGCAGCTGACGCCTCCACGCTGCCCGGTGTGGAACCTGACCGACTGTGACCTCCGACCTGTGCCGCTGGGTCTGGGGCCGTACGACGCCTGCTACCAGATGGACGCACTGGGTAAGGTCTCCGTCTTCTAATACCATATGAATGAAAACCAAGTAGTCAGGAGAGAAAGACTGGCCGAATGAAATAAGAAGTGGCACAATTCTCTACCGCACGTCTCTGTCTCTCTGTCTGTCTCTCTGTCTCTGGCCTCAGCTCGGGTCCGAGCATCTGGGTTCGTGTCGTCTCATCCTCAGCTGTTCTGGGGGTGTCGATGTCTTAGGTGGCTGGTCAGGCCTAGTGAAGTATAAAAACGTCGGGGGCACTTTGTGCAAGTCAGAGTAGGTGGCGGTCGCGGGAGGAGGAGCCGCTCTTGTCGTTTCCGTCTCTTTGCCTCTGCTGTCATCCGTCGTTGGGTTTCCATGTAGGTTGTACCCTGAGCGACGGTGCTCCGCCACGCAGTTCGGTCCTCGGCGAGGGTCTCCCAGTTGTCATGATCAATGCCGCAGCAAAGGAGCGTGGCCTTTAGCTGATCATGGAACCGACGTATGGGGGCGCCCCTCGGTCTTGTGCCGGATTCAAGTTGAGAGAACAGGATCTGGCGGGGTAGTCGAGTGGTCGGCATTCTTCTGACATGCCCTGCCCAGCGGAGGCGATGTCGGGCTACAGTCGTCTCGATGCTGGGGAGGTTGGTTTGCAGAAGAACAGACTCATTTGAGACACGTTCTTGCCATTTTATCTTCAGGATTGCACGGAGCTTCTGCTGTTGAAAGCGCTCCAGCCTTTTTATGTCACTCCTGTACAGAACCCACAGTTCAGAGCCATATAGGAGGGTGGAGAGAACGATGGCTTGAAACACCATGATCTTGGTCTGGAGGCTGAGGTCGTGGTTTAGGAATACACGTTTGGCTATCCTTCCGAAAGCAGCGTGTGCAGCACAGATTCTGTTGTCTATGTCTTTCTGCATAGTGCAGTCACTAGACAGGTAACTCCCTAGGTACTGGAAGGCTTCCACGGTCTCGAGGACTTCACCATGGAGACGAACGTTGCTGGTGTCTGGAGGGGGCTGACCTGGGACACCCTGTGCAAGGATCTTGGTCTTCCCAGTGTTTGAGGTGAGGCCAAAGCGGGAATAGGCATCCTCAAAAAGATTCACAGTAGTCTGGAGACCAGTGACTGTGTCTGCGGGGGTTGCGTTGTCATCTGCATACTGTAGTTCCCGTACTGTAACCGGTGTGGTACGACGGCGGGCGCGGAGGCGTCCGGTGTTAAAGAGACCACCGTCCATTCGACAGCGCAGTTGGATACCAGAGGCCGTGTCAGGGAGCTCGTGGATCATGGCCCCAAGGTAAAGTGAGAAGAGAGTGGGGGCCAGAACACAGCCCTGCTTCAGGCCAGTGGTAATGGGGAAGGGGTCTGAGATGCTGTTCTTGACCACGACGCGGCCGGTCATTCCATCGTGGAGGGCCTGTACAAGGTCCGTAAAGTGGTCGGGGCAGCCGAAGCGTCTCAGCGTTGCCCACATGGCTGGTCTTGGCTACGTACGTAGCCGCTAATAAAAGTACCACTAGAAAATATGACTTCTCTGGTAGAAAAAGCGATTCTTCTTCCTCTCCTTCTTCAAACAAAAAGGTCAATGACCTGAACCAGACGTCTGTCACCATGGTAACTGATGTAGGGATACATCATGTAGCAATTTTATAGCAGGAGTGATTTAGACTCCTGTCTGATCGTATACATATATATGAACGTGTTTGAGTAAGAATTAACAGAGCAGACCATATGCGAAGGTAAAAATTATGCATTTGTTTTGCAAATTTTCTCTATCTAGTTTAAAAAGCTTAAGATTGCATTTCTTGTGTTGTTTTATTTCCAGTTGACGGGCAGCATTACCAGAGCCGCAGCTGCGTTCACTACCGCCGCTGTCTGGACCTGCGGGCCTCTCTACGCGACGTCACTCTGCAGCACCCGGGGTCAAGGGTCAAGATCACCTGCTGCTTCCAGGACGGCTGCAACGCGGTCTCCAGCGCGGCGGTTACCATGGCGACAGTTACTATGGTGACGGTTACCGTAGTGACGGTTCTGTTTGGTTTAGTCGTACAAATGATGTAAAGCACAAGGAACACCAGTTCTTTGAAGGAAGAAATAAAGCTTTAAAGTTCTAAATGTTTGATCGTGTTGTGTAGTATTGATCGAAGACGGACATCAAATCCTAATCAAATGCTCTGAGTACCATGGCAAATTGAATACGTATACGTCTGTTAATGTTTTCCTGTGTATGTCGATGAAGGTTAGACATCCAGGTAATGAAATACACAAGAAAAGAAGCAATTGGATAGATTTTGAGAACGGTCAGACGTTTTACGTAGCATTAAACCTTTCGTCAGTGAATCTATCTAGTTGCTAAGTAACTGTATTCTTGTGTCTTCCTCTACGGTTCAGTATTCTAAAGGGCTAACACGACGTTCCAAAAGTACATAGAGAGACCGCTAGGCGGCGCACTGGTGACATATCAAAATCCTCCACATCACTTCAGGACCTTCAGCATAACTGATGCCTTTTCACTGCTGAAATGCTCCCCAGAGGAGGTAAATTGGCCCTATAGCCTAAAGGGCGCCGGCCTAACTAACCTAATTTTGCAGGGGTCAGTCGGAATAGAGTTAATTAAGGTTTCCTGACCTGTAACAGAATGGACGCAGCGGGGAAAATGGAAAAATCGGAGAAGATTTGTTACAATTTCAAATTTCGACATGGCTTTTTGACTGATGACTATTGAAAACGGAAATTGGATAGTCTAACTGCGGGGAGTAAAATGGAGATTAGGATTTGCATAACGTAAAACCAAGTGGAGTTGTGATAGGATCAGGCATGGTTCTGGATCTGCCTATTCAAGAAGGTAGATTTGCTCCAGGCACGGTTCTGGATACGCGTGGACTATCCAGAAACGTGCTTAAGCATGGCGCTCGCTTCGAGATATACTCATAGACTATTCAGACTATTCGTGGACTGTACCATGCCTGATACTGGTTCTGGATAAAGCACGGTTCTGGATACGCGTGGACTGTCCTAGCCTGGTTACCAAACCTATTAGGTCCTATTATAGCTCCCGAGTATATAGCATCCTCTCTCTCCAGCCTGGTTACCAAACCTATTATAGCTCCCGAGTCCTGCATCCTCTATTTGCGGAGAGGATGTAGGACTCGGGAGCTATAATAGGTTTGGTAACCAGGCTGGGACTGTCCAGAACCGCGCCTGATCATGGTTCTGGACCGTCGAAGCACAGTTCTGGATTCAATGCCATGCGCTATGTCGACGCCTGTCCTCTACTCTAACTCAGACTTGAGAAACAGAACGCTCTCAAAGACGAATGCCTAATCCTAACCCCACCATCAGTCCTTTGTGCCCCTCCCTCCTCCCAACCTTCAAGTCGTTGACTTCATCTCGAAGACAAGGTTGGTGCTGCGGCAAGAACATCAGAAGGAGAGAGCAGCAGTCTGCGATACGGATGATTCATGAGTCTGGAAGATCTAATAAATCTAATGGGCTGCGTGATTTACTGCCTCAATAACTTCTCGGTTGACCTTGACGTGAGGAATGGGGCACGGGCGGGTGCGCGGTGCTCAACGGCGAATACCCTCCGAGACGGGGAGGAAATTGATACCAATCTTCGGGAGAGGAGGGACCGGGAGTAAGTCCAGAAATAGCGCGGTTATATGATAAATTCCGCGAGATACGGGATCCGTGCCATGACAGGCCGTTCGTCATGCCTTCCTACGGGTTTTTTCATATCGATGTTCGGATACGTCTTTCTATATGAAACGCCCCTCTTGCATGTATGAACGTAGAGGAAAAATTTGAGGCCACCGCGTTCAATTCCAGGATGTCGCCATGAGAATCATATTTTGCTCACGGGCTATTTGATGCTTACCCCGGCAAATTGCTCTCCGATGATTTCTACCCGGGCGACGACGACAATCTGTCTTTATTGACGTACATTTGTACTTACAATTGACATTTTGTGACGTTACCAAAGGAAATTAAGAAAATGAAGATTCTGCTGAGGGACATTACATGGTAATCTGATGTAGCAATCGATTTAAACTTTTGTAAAGTTTTGACATGTGCAGATATTTATTCGCCGGGTACATTTTTTTTCATGTTACATTTTCGGCATATACAAAAAGATAGGTTGCATTATCGGAGCTCTCTTCAGTTGAATAGGGAAAGAGTAGATTGAAAGAAAAAGTGTTTGATTAAAAAACAGACGGCGTTCAAGGACGATTCCTTTTGTGAGTACATGTACTACCATTGGATCTCCAGAGAGCTGATAAGAGTTCCGTTCAAAACAAACTAATCCCAGATCGTAACTCATCTACGGGGAGATAAGCCGGCTTTCAAGTGTCGCGCGGTGTGTGAACATGCACCCCGGGGCCTCCACCTTCCACAGACTGTATCAGCGCAAACACAGACATCGCCGAGCAGTTCTGAGGATGAACCAACAGGACATGAACATTCATCAGCCGGAAAATCACCAAAGCCTTGTCTTTTCCAGCCATCTAGCAGTCGCAGCAGATGCGTCAAAGGCCGCTGGAAAGTGGCTCGTCTTTTAACGGTAAATGTGCTCTCAAAATGCAAGAGGTGGGATTTGGAAGAAGAAAGGATTGCCCGGACAGCTTGAGATGGTCAGACCTGTCAGACGCCATTGCCGCGATTTTCTGCGGCAAACGGCAGGGCTGTGATGACCGTGCCGCGGGGCTGGCTCATCAAAGCACCAAGTAAAACGGTGAAGTGGTCACAGAAGTGCTGTAGAATTATATAGCACGGTCTTCCCAGGGTAATGTGGGATTATACAAAGGCACCCTGTTATGTTACGGTCGTCAAAAGACACTCTAAGAGTTCTTGAAGAGCTTGACAGATGCTAGACCTCACGTAGTTGAAACCTTTACGCATTTGTCAGATGTAAAATGCTCTTTTTTTCTTCCTGTAAGTCAGTGGATGATTTGAAAACAGGGACCTGGCCAGGAAATTCAATTCATGAACTTTAAATTATAATGAACTTTTACATTATTCCCGTGAGAAAAAGATCACACGATAGATTCATAACTACCCTAAATGAGCGTCAGCTGAAAACTAAACTGATGGTGATACAACGATTTTAAACCCTATCATCTCTATACATCATGCAACCTTGGCATACACTTTTACCTCTCGCATACTTACGTGTTTATCTATACTGCAGTAGAGAATACAAATTTCCAGACCTTTTAACAGTCTGCGAACACCTCTATTAAATCCTCCCGATAGATACCATGAATATTACCCTCCCCTCTGTTCACCTAGGACCGGTATGAGCGCCATTCTCAGCAGGGTTGCTGCAGTATTATATATTCCCATCAGCGCGCCGCCCTAGAACAGATATTCCCGGGTCTAATGAAGGATCCGTTACTTCATGTTCAAAGTGCCATGTTTCATGGAGCAGGACGTCGATTTCTGGTCCTTTTCCAGCACGACTCATTAGGCCTGATGCCAGGATGGTCCACAGAGAAGTGCGGAACGACAAGGTGTGACGAAGAAAGCAAACACACGCCCGGTCGGTCGTTCCCCCTACTTTTCAATTGATGATGGTGCACGGTATTCTGTTTTTACATATTTACGGCATCAGCAATTGTGCGAAAGTGGCTGCATGCTGTTTATGTGTTCTTACACATATGATAAATATGAAGCAAACTGGGGACAATTATAGTGTGCACAGTGAAAACTCGTTTGTGTCTATAAATCATTTCAAATTCTTAGAGTTTTTGAACTTGTTTTTTATGTAACCTACTAAACCCAGACACTAGGGAACTTATTTTTTTCGTCTAATCTTTTGTCCTCAGTCGGAATGTAGAAAAAGAACTTTTCTCCTCTTACTTGCTGAGAGCATGGAGGTAGAAGAGATCACAAGTTTAGTATATGAGATCCTGCCTCCCGCACAAAATAGTGTCTGAGACCCGTGTACTCACACCTACGTCTATGGTATCACTAGAAGTTGTGGTCAGTCTTCTGTGACATTTCGGCGTGTCCAACTCCAGATACAAGCATGGCAAATCGTGACATGTAACGCCATTGAGTTGTAATAAAAATTCATTTTTCCGCAAATGCCGATTTCTTTAAACCGGAATATTTGGCCTATGAAATAAGCCACTCCTAAAGGTCGCTTCTCCATCTATTATTCACCCTTCCCTGCACACGCTCGCCAAACCTGAACCTGAACTCGCGTCAGGCTAGACCTTTGCTGTAATGGAGAATATGTCACTTGAAAGGCTAGGATCGAACAAAGGTACCCTTTAACTGAAAGGTAGTGATGTATGGTTGCCTGGAGGTTCTGAAAAGGTTTACAAGAGTTATTTTTATGAAGAAAACGCAGCCTCTACGACTGGAAAGAGCATGACATGGCCGAATAGACAGATAGCATGCCATGGGAGTTGGTCTGCTAAAGGAGTACAATTTGCCGCTCCGGGTGAGCTGAAGAAAATATAGAAACTGAGAGAGGGGGGCTACGTGGTGATACATGTTGCGCAGTGGGGAAACCTGTTCTCGACATACTGTATACATAAGCAACAAGACTTGTGATTATAAACTCTGAGAAAGGTATGTACTTTCATTTTACAAAAAATATCGGATACTGTGGGAGGATCTAATCTTTAATTTGTGCATGCAGTCCTAGTGCTTGTCCAAAAACTTAGTGCATGGTCTACGTACGGAGACCCAGAACCTTACCGGGAGCAAATCTACGTTCTTGGAGTACACGAAGACTATTTAGAACCATGCCTGGTCCTAAAATTAAACCATTCAGACATAGAACTACTAGTAGATAGGAACGGTCCTGGAGCCAAGAGATTCAGGGATTCGACCCCATGACCTCTGGTGGCGCGAACGGTGGCAACCACGAACCAACGCGGCACAGATAATAGAAAATGATATCAAGTAACCGATTGACATCTATATTACCTAGTCCTCGCTTCAGAAGATGCTTCTTCTCACACGCTCAGGTGTCTAATTGAGAAATATGCCCCCCTCCCCTCACCTCGCCAAGGTAAGAGGATAACTCATCATACGACGCTGCAATTACC